GGTTAGTTTTACCAAAAAAAGTCCAGTGCGATTGTGGCTTTAGCCTCATAATGACACTTGGTCTATGCAGAGCATCTTGAGTGTATGTTTGTCTTGTGACTGGATTGCCACTTTGAAGAGAGTGATTAAGTTCACTGTTTGTTCTATCCATGTACATAGTGCTCTAAAGCTGAATAAAATATCTACCCACCGATAGACAAATGCCTCTTACAAAATAAATAGTAGTTTTTATGCCTCATTTCAAACCAAATGGTGTCTACAAATGCATGAGTGTACTGTACCTAGTTTCTCTTGCTCTGTTGAAATATCCCATATCTTAATAGTCTTATGTATAGTAGAAGCTAAAACACTGTCAGCAGCAGGGTGGAACAGCACATTTTCTACCCGCTTGTCTTGCATTGGCAATGTAAGTAAGGCGGTGCTTATATCTTCTGTCAAGCCACCCTCTGGTAAATCCCATAGTTTAATCTGATGAAAAAAAAAAAGTTTTTAAATTGTTTCAACTTGTTTTTGTAACAAAGTCAGAAATATGTAGGTGCAACATAGCCAATCACAGAATCAAGATTCCTGGATGGTAAATTTTAATGGTTATTATAGAGGGATGAATGTATCAGCTTGTGAGTCACATTAATACAATAGATTATGCAAAACATAATACACTGTAATGCTAAAAGGCTAGTTCCATTTTAAAATACTTACTGAGCGATCTTGTGAGCAGGTCGCTAGCAGATAGTCATTGAAGGGTGAGAAGTCCATATCTGTGACCAGGTCCGAATGGGCTTTGATGCCGGGCAAATCGTTATTGCTCCGGCCACAGAAATCAATGGGAAGCACACAAAGGTTGGAACCATCTAAAAAATAAAATGATGTGATTTTATCCAAAACTGTATTTATGGTATGCCAGTATCTGGATGGCTACACTCCAACAGTGTCAAACAAATAGTATTTAATAATCATATTCATGTTGTTGAAAAGCTTTTTATAAATAACTATAATTAATTTCTTAGGCAAAAGGGGAGAATGAGCAGTGGCTTTGAGGTTAAGGTGCAGCCTTCAAATTCAGAGTCTTTGGTCCAACTCCCAGTCAGAAACAAAATTTTGCTATCATGAATATTTCCTAAGCCTAAAGGCCTGTCCTGACTATCAAATTTTATTTGACAAAAACATGTGACATGCCTAAATATGGTCATGATGACATCACATCATGACCATATATAGGCACATCATGAATAGGCCTATATATGGGCATACAGCAAATTTTTGTCAAAGAAAATTGGATAATCTGGACAGAGCCTAAGATTTTTATTTGGAGAGCATAACTGGGCCCAGATCAAAAGAAAAAAAAGGAGAAAAGGAGGAGAAAAAAAAATTCTTTTTTTCCCCCCTTTTTTAAAATATTGACTGGTTTATTAAATTTTATTGCTATTCTGTGCGGTTCTTTTATCTAAGCTTGCTATTTTTATATGTGTGTTTGTTGTCTTGCTTCTGTTTGAAGAAACCTCCTGATAGTAATTAAGTTTTCTTTAGGATACCCTCAGGCTGTGTTTTTGTTTTTTGTATTTTATATTGCCTGGAAATAATAATGAAATGAAATGAAATCAGCTATAGCTTAATACAGGCTCCCCATTAAGATGAGGAGAAACAAATTTAGAACAATAAAAAACATTAAAAAAATGAAGAAGTATCAACAGAAACCACTGAAAATAAATACAACATATTCGTATTGTGCGATTTTGTCAGTAAGTTCTTACTTCCCCCATTGACGTTGAAAGCCATGAGGGTGCCACTGGCCTTGATCTGATTGCCGCATGACTGGAATGCACCAATGTTGAGGTCCGAAATCCAATGCTTTAAAAGAAAAAAAACAAACTTCTATTTTTCATCATCTTTTTTAGTTGTTATATTGTATTTTCTTGATGTATTTTTCGCTTGTGGTCATGTTTTAAATTCACCCTTGATGTAAGACCTGCCAAGGAAAACAACTTTCATGAGATTTATACTTCAAATTCATGACGAATAAAGTGATTTTTTTTTTAATGCCTTATGTCTTATGTCAATAAATATCATTTCTGGGTTTAAAATTGATCTGTTGTTTTTTATATGCTCAATATACAACTATTTAAATCAAACAAATAAAATCTATGTAAGTATATTTTAGTTGTAACAATGATCTTTGAATATAAGTAAATATATTAAATATATCAATCAATAAGTATATTTTCACTAATTTCATATGTAAATAATATATATTAATTATACTATATATTCAAATTATAAATTACAGACATTATCTCATTAATGAATGTTAGCATATAATGCAATATTATACACTATACACTATATCATCTAGATGTGTATAAGAGACAGCTAAAAGGCTAGTTCCATTTTAAAATACTTACTGAGCGATCTTGTGAGCAGGTCGCTAGCAGATAGTCATTGAAGGGTGAGAAGTCCATATCTGTGACCAGGTCCGAATGGGCTTTGATGCCGGGCAAATCATTATTGCTCCGGCCACAGAAATCAATGGGAAGCACACAAAGGTTGGAACCATCTAAAAAATAAAATGATGTGATTTTATCCAAAACTGTATTTATGGTATGCCAGTATCTGGATGGCTACACTCCAACAGTGTCAAACAAATAGTATTTAATAATCATATTCATGTTGTTGAAAAGCTTTTTATAAATAACTATAATTAATTTCTTAGGCAAAAGGGGAGAATGAGCAGTGGCTTTGAGGTTAAGGTGCAGCCTTCAAATTCAGAGTCTTTGGTCCAACTCCCAGTCAGAAACAAAATTTTGCTATCATGAATATTTCCTAAGCCTAAAGCCCTTATTAGTTTTTACTTTTTGTTTTGTCGTAGTCAAATTGAGACAAGCTTCGCTTCTATTTTTGATCCTAATTAATTAATTTTAATGTTGTCCACTTTATTTATCATTTGATTAATTAATTGAATAAATGTTAATTGAATTGAAAAATTGAAAAAAAAATCTATTTTTATCGGACATCACTTATTTGTAACAGTGGCACAGTACATGTAAGACAGATAGTACCCAACGACGCATCCAACAAATAATTAAACAGCAACATTCTTCAATATAAATAAGAAGTTAATTGTTCCCTAAAATCACAAAAAAATAATTTTGAAATTAACTTGACCACTTTCAGGCCAAAATTTCATCTTTCCGCCCATAATTCAACTTCGGCTACGCCTTGGCTTTTTTGTGTTATTATTTTGTCTTTCATATTTTGTTCGTATAAATTCCACTGGAAGATTAATCGAAGTCAGCCACCATTTAAATAAAGCCTTGCAGTCCATGGGTGTTTGAAGGCTTGGCATATATCAATGGGGTGGCTTCATTACTCATTAAAAAAAACCCTCTCCCTCCCGATATTTTTTTTCTTAAAAGGACGATCAACAACTCTTTTTTTCAGGGGTGGCACCAGCGGGATGCCGGGGGCCAGGGTCCCTTCATTCTACTAATGTACTTACTTCTGTATTGGTACACCGTTTAAAGCCTTGATAAAAGGGGTGGCCCCTGACGGGTAGAGCTCCCCCACCCCCCTTAAAAAGGAAAAAGCACAATTCGTCGGGGAGAAAAGAAACTATATGTATTTTCTACATATTAGTTGACTCTCAAATCGATTAAATAAGCATTTGAACCCCCTAAATTGTCACAATTTTCTGGGGCTTCTCCCCCTAGACCACTTTCGGAACCTTTTAATCAACCACGCCCACTTTGCTTTCGTCGGGAATCTGACCCCTCGTCGGGTCGGCAAATGCTGGCGCCACCCAAGTTTTTTTTTTTGACATGGCCTAACATAGAAAATTATTAACTTGAATATTATAGAAATTATTGATGTTTAAGTTTTATGCACTTCAAAATGAGCAAATTAATTTCTAAAATAATATTTATGATTTTTTTTTTTGGTATTTGTTTTTTGGAACAATACATTTTAAGCTATATTGTAAAAAAATTTGAATTATTATTTTTATTATTGAAAAGCAAAAATTATAATTATTGAGTGATATAATTATAAGTGTACTAATATAATTTTATAAAGATATGATATTACAAAATGAATTTCTATACATATTGGTATATAACAAAGCGATATAAATACCAAATAAGGATTGAAAAAGGAAAAACTTTCACTATTGGCGAGGCCTAACAAATTGATTGCTTATGTGATTGGTTGATTGATTGATTGATTGATTGGAGTAGCACTTGTCATTAGTTCATAGGCTTAACGTTGGGGGCGCAAACATCTAAACATTTTGTGATTTTGTGACTCATCGCGTACACAAACAAGAAGGGCGAAGAAGGGTTCGTGTGGTCCCCTTAACTTATCATGGAACTAGTAAACAGGAAGTTAAATATTAACAATGCCATCAACTAAACGGAAAGGGATATTCCATAATTTTTTAGGAGGCCGTAAAGATCGACACAATGATGTAAGTGACGACATTCAGAATGCAAATTTGAAACAGAAGCAACCACCGCCAACAAGCCCTCGGCCGCGGCTGCGTCAAACACAACAGGTGAAAATGTTCGGAGACGAAGGTAAACAGGCGTCCAATGGGCCTGTTTATGACCAACAAACTGGATTGTATACCTTTCCGAAGAAAACTGTTAAAAGCGAGCGTCCGTTACATGAAATTTATCAGGCACCGAGGCAAAATGTATTAGAAAATGGTGACGTTAAATCAGGTCATTTCGAAAGGACGTTTTTAGGTCATCAAGATGATGCAGGACGAAAACTTCAAAGTCAAAAACGATGTGAGAATATGAATAACATCACCATTGATGGAGTTAAGTCCACATCCCGTAGTAGTAGTAGTAGTAATGCATCATTTACAAATGATGACAACAGAACTTTGCGATTTGTTGGCCGAAGAGGTCTCGAGTCAGGTGATGGTGATGATATAACGAGTCAAAAAGGTACAATTCGAGGAGTACAGAATCGTGTTAGAGCGGGTATTGCTAATTTTGAATTTAAACCACTTGACACAACAAAGGTAAAGTTTTAAACAAAGAACGCATAGGGCCTAGTTTTTATTAATTTAAAAAAAATGCTTTTCGCTATTTGTTTAAGAGTGTTGGTAGAAAAATGGATGGTTGGTAGCGCCCCTTTTTCCCCCAGTTTTGAAATATTAAAAAATCTATTTCATTAACCGTGTTACTCGTCAAACACTCTTTCGAGTCTTAGAAAAATAAGTTGTACTGAACAGTAGGCCTACAACATATCAACAATTATTCCCCTGAGCCTGGCTTTAATCTGTCCATTGTTGAACTAGACTTGCCACTGTTGAACATACCCCACCTCTTTCTGTCTGTTGTTTCTCTAAACCAGTATTTATTGTACATTCTCAGATCATCTGTCCACCTCTGTTTTTGTCTTCCCTCATTTCATTTCACTTTAATATTAAACATTAATTTTATTGAATAATTTCAGAAAAAATATTATGAAGAAGAAAAAGGAAGTATTATTGCTTATACCACAAGCACAACAATTGTGAGACGGACTTTTGATAATTGCGTCAAAGTAAAAAAGCTATTTGAAAACCACCGAGTTTTATATGAAGAACGTGATTTATTTGTGAATCCAAACCACCAGAGGGAGCTATTTGAGCGTATTGGAGAGGAGGAGTCAAGCAATTTACCGATCATTTTTATTGACGGTGAATTAATAGGGGTAAGGATAACGATTTACATACTTGTTAAAGATGTTGAACCAAGGTGGCGTACCCAAAATGGTTTTTTTGCTTGTGGGGGGAGGAAGTGACAGTGAGGGAGGGGCTGATGATTTGAGGGAGGGGTTAGGATGTTTCCTTACTTAAAGTATCTCCAAACTTTCAGTCATTTAATCTCTTATCTGAATGATTTCACATTTGGTTAGAGATTTTTTTGGCTGCATGCTTTCCTTTCGCCGCCCTGTGGGTCTGCCACCCTCTTGATTAGCCACCAATAAATCCGCCAGCATGGGGATCCGCCACTAATGAATCTCAAGTGGATTAGGGGTGGATTCAGGATACAAGAAACATCCTTTCCAATTCCTTTTCAACATCCTTCTTTCCATCCATTTATTAACAAACATGTCATAACCCAGCATTAACTTACCTCTACTGCAATTTCAGTGACGCAATTGCATTTGAGGTTTTTTGAGGTTCATTTCCTTTTAATACTTGACATATTGCACTCCGAAGATGCTTAATGGTGTCTCAGCTTAATCTATAGTAACAATATTACATGCTACAAACAGCAGGTGTTTGAATGTTTTCTTTAATATACAACTCATAATCTATTTAGCTGCCTATGTAACAATATTTAATCTAATTATGATTTCTCTGATCTTGAAAAGTTACACATTCAACTTGTTCCGGATTTGCTGATTATAAACCTTAACAATTGTGTGAAAAACTGAATTTTATCTATTTTACTTCCTTCTGTGAGTAGTGGGAAAATAACTTTTTTCATGTGAAATTTTTATTTCATTTGGTCTCAAAGTGCTATAGCTTGCAGCCATGTGACCTGAATCTACGATGAATAGAAATCTGGAACAAATGCGGGAATACTTAACTAATAATAATTAATAATAATAAATTTAAGTATGCGAATGAGCATATTAAAACAGCTACTCGAAATAGATAGTCAGCAAGATGATTCAACGTACTGTATCTGTACTCTGTGGAAGACTATCTTTAATTTGTTAATCAATTAATGAATTAATTAAAAAAACAATATTGATTCTTTGTACTTAATTCGCTGAAATCAATGTGTCATGAAATGAAAATTGTCATTGAAAATTATTGGTGTAGAAATAATTAGAATTGAGAAAGCTTTTAAAGATGAAACACAATATTACTAATGCTGTAAAAAATGTGTAAAATAAGGAGATTCAATGGAACATGACTGGCTATAGATCTTTTCTACTAGATAATAAAAATAATCAATACTGTTTATTGATAAAAATAAAAGCAAGCAGACAAGTGCAAGTAAGCATCTAAGACATTATGAAAAAATTCCCACTGAATAATACTATCGAGTGGTACCAGGTAAAGACAACCTGATTTCTTGCTTCGCACAAGGTATCCATAATGTTTAAGTCTTATGAAGATAAGCCTATCTATAGGGTCGAGACCAGGACATGAAGTAATTCCCATCAAATAGTATAAGTGAGCGGTACTGGTGGGTGAAGACAACTTGATTTCTTACTTCGAACAATCAAGTCTTATGAAGATAAGAAGCCTATCTAATAGTGACGTTAGAGGGTCGAGACCAGGACATACCTCCGACAAAGACTGGTACAATGTATGACATAGAGTACCACAGTCGTGTCGTCACGACGCCAGGTGGAGCTCTCTGTTGTTAACAGACATACTATTCATTACGCCTGAATAACTGCATAAGCTTCCTGGAATAGGCATTTTAAAATCTAATATTTTACCACCATCAAAATGTAGTAAAAACACAAAAGCTCGCATTGTATTAGTTATCGAACACACATATAATAATCAATTAAAATTTACAAAGAAAAAGTAAGATACAACATCTTAATAATTACGTTAGAAATTGGGATCAATGGTTTGTTAGTGGTGAAAATGGCGTTGGGTTGAACACATTTGCAACGATAGCAACGGAGTACTGTAGTATTACGTGGTATCGTGACGTAACACTGCAGTACTCTTGTCGAGGCAAACCTCAAATTTAAAAAAGTGTAATTTAAAAATAAGCTTAATGTAGGCCCATGTATAAGTAATATGTTAATATATAAATAACACAAAATATAAAAGAATAAAGGAAGAAGGAAGGACAGGAAAGAAACTCGAAGCAGCTGAAATATTTTCGGAAAATAAACAATAATCAATATGTCATTGTTTTACATTTTTGTAACAAATTTTGGACACTATTCATCAGATGTCAAGTGTACACGTTTCGTAATTCGACATCGATTCCTCATGGATTATATTATGCATGTAAAATGAGAAAAGAAATTTTACTCCATTATTCTCTTGTTTAAAAGTGTCTGTTCTTCGAGTATTTTTTATCAAACACCCTTTTTGTGTCTTAAAAAAATCAGTTGTACTTCACAACATATTACCAATTTTTTCCCCAGAGCCTGGCTTTAATAGAGTTTACCATACATCAAACGCTAATACTGTATTGGTCCTTCAAAGAAAGAAAAAAGTAAAAATTTTTCCCAACAGTGAATATAGGACATGTTTAATCAAATAAATTAATGTGAAACGTTAATTTTAATAACAATGTAATGTAATTACTGAAATAGAAATGTAAAGCCCAATCAAAGTACACAGCATTTGTGCTATTTGTCATTCGTTTAGCAAGAAAGCATGCCATTTATATCTCAAATTTGTTTGCAGTATGTTTTACCATACCAGCATCCTCAAAACCAAATTTGTTCTGATCTTTGCCCTCATTTGAAGGGTGGAGTGCCACTAGAGTCTGCAGTCAATCTCTTTTGTTGATTCACAATTGGCGATAGAAAAACCTGAACATTCCGACTACTTCTTATCCTTATTTTTACATTCATAATTTTAAAATTCCAACAAAGGGGATTTCCAATTGGTTGATTCTGAACCAATGAACTGTAAAATATCTCGCCCAATCCCATGAGGTTTTTAACTATTTTAGTAAGTATTTAGCCAAATATTTGTTTATGAACTTCATTTAGCGAACTTTATTTTTAGGATTGTTAGAGGGCAGATTAAAAAAAATATTATCAAAATGGTAAATGGTGCGCTAAAAATTTAGTAAGAAAATATCTAATGTTTCTTCATAAGGAGAAGTAAAAAGCTGGTAAAAATGGTAATGTTGCATGGCTTCTTGGAATTCAGAGATTCTGGGTAACAAATCTCTAGAAAGTCAAGTGAACTCTCATTGTTCAACTTTATATAAAAGTCAGTACTGTAATTTTAATAATACTGTAATATTTTATGGTATGGTACTGTGTGTGAGTGTGATGGAATTTTGTCCCTTTTAAAGGTTAATACGGTTTAATGGGCAGAAAAGAAGAAAGAAAATAAAGAAAACAAAAGAACCACTTATGAGTGGAACCATAATGGGTATTCACTTGGCAGGTTAACCCTTGACCTATTAGTATAGAAGCAACGTTGACATTGATTATGTTATACCTGCTTATACTTGTTCAAATATGAATAATCTGTTGGTCTGTGCCATTAAAGTGTGCCCTGCCCTTGATAAACATCAGAGTGTTGACAAGTTAATGAATCAATGTCATTATATTAATATGTCTACTTTTTTCTTAATGGCAGGCTCAGTGAGAATTCACTGTCTGCTATTGTTGTTATATTATTTATATTAATATTGTTAATATTATTAATAGTGGCAGAATTCATAAGACTAAAAGCTTATATCAATTGTGTCATACTACGTCATTGTTTTATTGTGTCATCTTCTGTTTGAGTTACCAGACAGTATCTCCTCTTCAAATAACAGGCTAATAAAATGTAGATAAGTGTCAAACTGTCACCTATATAATTAATACAAGTGGCAGCAGTACTGTGTAGGTGTGATGTATTTGTAATTCTATGCTCTACATTTGTTGTGTTTTATATCTTTAGTGACTGGATAGACAATAAACTAATAATTCATGCAGGTGGTACTGCTGTAGTAAGGTAGGGAACTTATTCCTGATAGGTGGTCCATCCCCGACAGTTAAGTCCATATCCACCTTAGCCCCACCATGTTTTATTGCTCTCAGACAGATTTTACCCTGGTTCCCAATCAGTACTAAAACTGGATGTGCAGCATACAGTAGCCACTGGCACCATAGTTCAGAAGTTGATGGGGTCATATTGGTTCATAATTTTGAACATTCATAACCAAATCCTTTTGGATATTTAAAACATAATTCCATAGTAATGTCCATCTTTAATAATATTCCATTCTAAGAGAGCTTAGAGGTCTCCAGATTTCCACATTCAGTTTTACACTTGAGATGTCATGAGGGAGGTAGAACTTTTGTAGCCGACAACCTTTATATTGACCCTATTTTTTTCTGGGATTGTGGACCCTTTTACAGGATCCATTGTCCTATGAAGAGGTATAGTATACTTAGCAATTACTGTTACTGTGACTGGGAATTTATAATGAGCCTTTCCTTTTGTTTGCAAAGTTCAAGCCAATCAGTTCTTGAAAGAACCATCTCATATCACAAGAAACAGTCAGTGGAAAGACATCAATATAACAACAACAAAAGACAAGTGAATTTAATAGGCAAAAAGATGCGTTTTAAGTGATCTTTTGAAAATATTAACAAAAATACAGGAAAAAACAAAAATTTGAATGTGTTTTTTGGCAGCATTTATCCAGTTAAAGCTAAACTTTGGTACCACCGCCTACAGTACTATAGATTAGCTGGTAATGAATTCTGCAAAATGTTTTAAATGTCACTATAGTCCTTATGGCCAGGTTGGCTTTACACGGTCTTAACAATTGTACAACCCATGTGTTTATAACACCTTTTGTAGGTGGAGAAAATTGAGATATTGTATTGCCTGCACAATAATCAACTGCTTCAGGCAAACACGGTTGTTGTTCACAAATACTAGACCTTTAATTGTAAAATGGAAGCTTGCATAAATGAGTCCTAATTAAGTTATGCAAACACTCAGTTTTGTCTATGCACCAAAACTACACTTTCGTTTTTTAAATTTTTTTTTACAAGAACACAATTTATAAGGAAACAGGGGCTGAAATTGCTTAACTAAGAGCAAATTGAGGCAGGGATAAAATGTCAAATGAGGTTTACTATTTAAAAAAAAAATAGAATATCTTTACCTTATGTGCAGCAGGTTTGACTATGTAATAACCTCTATAATACAGTACAATAAACTGCTGTACAATAATGATTTTTGGTTTGAAACGTGTGTAAAATAAGAACAAAATAAGAACATTTTGAGCCTGAAATTAGCAAAAAAAATAAAATAAAAACACTGAGCCTGGGGAAAGTTTACTGGTTTTTATTTTTTTTAAAAAGTATCAGTATACAGTAATATTTTGCAACACATTGTTATCATGTTTGAGACAGCCCTCTTGAGTTGCAGTGACCCTTCCATCATTCTATAAAATTAAAATGAAATACAATATAATCCACCTTCCACAAACACTTTAATTTAATTTAATTTAATAGTGAATTTAAACACTGTGATTTAACAGTGAAAATTTCTGGTCTCAACAATGAGTCGTTTCGAAGATAGCACCACTTATCTTTAAGCATAAAAACATAAAATTTATTGATTTTCTATGGTAAAACATGTTCAGCATGATTACAGGCAAAACAACGTGTCTTCGATGAAGACACATTGTTTTGCCTCGTAATGGTATTGAAAAATTGTTTTGGGTTTGGCTGTGCAGCAAAATCAACATATTGATGGTGTTATATTAACAGTCCTACCAACGGCATATGCACAAGCAACAGTACAGTAGATAATGATTGTCCCAGGCATGATAAATTAAAAAAATTAGTCGCACTTGCGGCAATACCGCGCCTAATAATTCTCGATGTTTTTGATGTAAAATAACGTATCTGTGAATATCGTTAATAACTTTACAATACACTAAAGGTTGTATTTAAATTATAATACAATTTGCCCAATTCGAGGTCTCCGATTAGAGGGCTAGCTTTGTGTTAAAAGGTTGAAGATTTTTATTTGGGTCCTCAGAAATTTGGTCTTGAATTGGAGGGGTCTCGAATAGGAAGGTGCACTATATTCCATATTCATAATTTTTACAGATGTGGTCATGAATGCAAAATTTCAGAATGGTACGCAAACACGCAAACCTATACTCTATTTTTCTCGAAAAGTGAAAATTTAAAGTAACGTTAAGCAGCCTGTGGGTAGCCTAAACGCATCACCTAATTTTAAACACACATACACTTCCTTATCGTTTGTACATCCAGTTGTCAGAGTATGGATTCATTTTATAGTATCCTTTTCAATCAATAAACCCTATTATATGAGAGCACACACAGTAGGGCCTTTGTCGTTGTTGGTAGCAGGCGCGTCAGTTGTTTTGGACTGTATTAATCACCATCATTGACTCCTTGACTTCCTTATGCTGTCACAATAAAACATTTATTCATGGCAAAAGAATGTCATAGTCATACATGATGACATTTAATTTTAGGGTTTCTACCTCCCTGGTGGTACAAGTGTGTTCTTGAATTTGTATCAGGCCACAACCAGAACTAATATTTTCCGCTTTCAATCATTGTAAGACTGGTTATCTATGTTTACAATAACTCTAACATTATTCTGAATCCTATAAATTACATTATGAGATTTAAAAAAAATAAGTGTTAGCGAAAGTGACTATTAAAATCAGGATTGGTTAATACATTTATTTAAAACACTAAAATCTTTAAAATTAATTAAATAAATAACAATCTCATTTCATTTAAACCTTTTAATTTACTACCACCCGCCAATACAAGGATCTATTGAACAAATAAAATAGTATCAGGCTTGGTTAATACATTTAATTTAAAAAAAAAATCTATAAAAATAAAACAGTCTCATTTTATTTTAATCTTTTATTTTACAACCCACCAATTTAAGGATCTATGAAAAGAATAACACAGTATTATTAATTATGCACAGTTGATTAGAAAGGAAAACGATTTATTGTTTTTAATTGAAAGCTAGTGCAAGCAAATAAAATATTTAAGTTAATATATCCATGGAGGAATTTAGTTTAAACTAATTCCTCCATGATATATTTATGATGTAGTAGAGTATTATCTGTAATGATCATTATTATTATTACCATGGAGGAATTATGTTATTACACACATGACATAGCACCAGCCACTATGGTATGCGAGAAAACCAGTGGATGTACTGTGTACTTTGACAATTTGTATTGTGTACTCTTATCTTTAGAATTTGGCACAGTATGTATACATTAGTCACCATATGGTGTGGCTATTGTATGGTGCGCAATAGACAAACCCGGCTAGACAATGCACGTTTCACTAAGCCATGCCCCTTGGATATTGTTGCCAAGGTCCTACAAATTGACAGAATTATCATGGATCAAAAAATTTGTGCTAGTGGGCCATGCGAATATTCCCAGCCCCGCACTTAAAAAAAAGAATTTTTTAATATTCTTTATGCAAGAACATTTTTTATCTTGTTACATGAACTTATTCTTTAAAGATCGTCAGAGGAGGGTGAAAAAAAAAATATAACTAAAATTTAGTTTTCTTATTTAGCGAATGATTTTGCCAAAAACGTAAGATGGCAGAAAATAAAAATAATATTATTGGTCACTGTAAAAATATATTGGTGACTGTAAACATTGTAATAATGGAATGGTTAAAGAAGAAAGAAATATACATATTTTATTTTTGGAGATTTCAAGGCAGTGGCTGGCGTAAAAAAATTAAAGAAATTTCCAGTTTTTCGTGGCGGCAGGTGTGCTAATTGGCTAAAAATAAAATAAAATTTTTGTTCAAAATCATCAATATTGACGGGGCGGTGGGTTCGCGAAACAAGGTATAAAAAAAGTCTTGCCATATGTGATATTAATTTCAAAGTTATTTGTCTTTGCAGAATATTCAACAATTGGAAGAGCTTAATGAGTCAGGGGAACTAAGTAATATCCTGAAACGATTTGAGGTAAGTTTAAAACTGGCGGCGCTGGACGCTTTTAAACAAGAACGAGAACAGCAGTGAGGGATGTGTGGAGTCCACCCCACCTCAGGCCCACCATGGTTGGGGGCTAGTTGAGAAAATGTTGAAAATATGGGCCTCTAGATGCCTGGACATGCCACTCTCCTACTTGAAAAATCTTACTTTTACTATGTAATTATAAAAATAATATATTAACAATACAATACAAAAGTATTTTTCTTAATACAATCTAGGGGGTGTGATTGCACCGCCTGCCCACGCCCCAGGGGAGTTTACTTCTTTGATGTGAAGAAAATACATAACAGATTTATCTTAGAACCATTTCATATTGAGGTCATTAAAATAAATGAGTTATAATGAAATGCTGTAATAATAATAATAATAGAAATGGAATGACATTCGATGGAGTGTGGTGCAACTATTATATGACTGTTGCCATGGACTGCATGATTAATGTTGCTAGGAAACTGAGATTATTAGTCATTATGCAAAGCGTTATAATATTCAAGCCTTGAATTCAGCCAGCATTCGTAAAATCATAGCATTCATCCTTGACTAATGTTGGCTGCAAATCCACATCTAATGTACGCACGTCATGTGTATGCATATCTATGCATACCTTTCAATCCCACTATATGATGTAGTTGGAAATTTACATGTCAGAGTATATCCAGTGAGGTGCATGATGGGATATTACATAATAAACAAAGATTTGTCTCACTCTGGCCAGGCTTTACCTTTCTTTCGATTGTTTAGTAAACTTACAGAGAGTAAACACTCACGCTGGAAGCCTATTTTTCATCGTGGCTGTGAGAAACTTTACAGGTACATTCATTTTATAACAATACATTATGGTCATACAAAAACAAAACAAAAACGAAAGGAAGGAAAAGTAGAGAAAAAGGAAAGAGAAGACAAAAAACAATCTGCCATAAAAGGAATGCCATCGTACATTCTAGTTCATAATTCATAATTTTATTTACCGCAAATACAGTAAGAAACTTATGGGTTAACAAAGGGAAATGGTCCCTGTAACGAAGTACCTATCAGAAGATATGTTAATTAAGCTAATACATAACCGATAATTAAATTAAATTAATTTATTATTTCCAAGCCAACATATCGACACTTATAGGATGAACAAAAAAATGGATGGATGGATAAAAAAGAATGAAAATAATAAAAAAGATAAGAAAAATAAAAATTATAGACAAATACAAAAAAAATAATGGGTAAATTAATTAGCAATACATAAATAAGTAAATAAATAAATGATGCAAGTTGTAATGATTAACAGGATGATGATGGGAACTTAAAAAGATATGAAGATTAGATGTTATGCAAAATGTCTGGTGGATGGTTACATTGATCTTATCCTCCTCATATCACCTGTCGTCTGCTAAATTTCCTGGATAGATTATGCTAATCTTTTTTAACAACGCTTCACATTGTTTACGGACGGAATTGAAATATATTTACTTTGGTATTCATTGCCGTCTATAACAAGATTAGTAATCATTAATTGAATTATTATTGCGATTATGAAAAATAATATAATTTCATGGTTGATTGATTGGTGGCTTGTAATCAAACATTTACCATAATAATAATAAAAATGGTAATAATAATATAGAAATTTACATTACACTGGGATTTTATTAATCATGTGTAAAGATATACAGAAACCATACTGCCAATGGTGCAAAAAAGAACAAAATTATTTATTTAAAAAAAATGTTATGATTATATTTTATGTAGGGGCATCCAGAGATGTCCGAAAAGGGGGTGGGGGAGAGCCGATTCTATCAATCCTAATTTTTCTTTTCTAGAAGCCCGGAAATATCCTCTGGGAATTTTTGTGTGATCAAAAATTTCTTTTTCTTTCTTTCTTTTTTTTCCCTTTTGTTTTAAATTTCCAGGGTGGGAGGGAGAGCGCGGGAGGCTTGCCTCCTAAATCTGCCCCAGTTTAATCTACAAGCATTAAAACTCAGCATGCATGCACCCAACAGTAAATCTTCCCCAGTTTAATCTACAAACATTAAAACTAAGCATAAAGTATTATAAAAAAAAAAAACCCCAAAAACCAGAGTAAAGGTTTTTGCAAGCCATTGGAAATGTCAAATGTTCACAAGTAGCAGAATCCTCAATTAGAAATTATGAGGTGAAATACTAATAATTAACTTTTTAAATTACTTTCAGAAACGATTAAATTTTGACGTGTGCAAGTGTTGCGGTGATCGAAAGTACATCAATTGTGTCGTCTGCAAGGGTAGCAAGAAATCCGTATTGAGGAACGGCTTCACAGATCAGTTTCGCACATTACGCTGTACACATTGCGACGACAACGGACTGCAGAAATGCCCCAAGTGTTACAGTAATTCTTCATAATGGTGCTAAGATGTTGTGTATGTTAACTGTATGTATGTATGCCCGCTAATACGCAACTGTGTTGATTGTTTCATAGTCTATTTTTGAGGTGTTAAATTTTTAATTAACATTGTCTTATTTTGAATGTGGGGACCAACTAAGAGGGCTTGAATGCATTTGTTTGAATATTTATCAAAGTATGTTTGTTTTTATACACTAAATCAGGAATATTCTTTCAGCCTTTGTATCTGTTTAATTTAAAAGCAAAATCGAGGATAAAAAAAAAGGTTCTAATGTGTGTTTTTTTACCCGAAAAGCTGAAAAATATTAGTTTATCACAGGGTGTTTCTAAGGTGTTTTTTTAAATGTTTAAACACCCTCAACTTGCAAACTTCCATATCACAAATAAATGATAAAATTAACAAATATGTAAACTGTCCATGATTTTAATTAATACTAATATTAATTAATATTGACAATTGAATAATCCTTGAGGGCCTACATTTTGATTAAAATATTGTTTTCTGCTTGATAATTGCTGTGGCCTTAAAATAACATCTGTACATTATTTTAAACATTAAATATATTTGTCCTTGTAGGTATTCATTCGGAAAATACAATTTTGCCTGCTATAGATTACCTGGTACAAAGAAATAATATACATTCACAGAGTGCGGAATACATAAAGCAAAGACTCATAACTACCACTGCACAGTCCGAATCTAAATAATAATATACCATTTATATAGCTTAAGTTGTATATTAGATATAGGGCACTCATAAAGGTCCCTGCCATGGAGATCCAGGTACCATATTTTCTAAACTAATGCTAATAATATGAGATACAAATAGTGGATCTACTTATTTATCATTCAGTCACAATTTTAATTACAGTAACTTATTAGAATAACGCCATCGGAATTATTGTTTATTGTTAGCTAGAAATTTCAATTAAGAGGTACTACTGTGTACTTGATTTAACAATTGAATATAATGATCAATTGAAATGAATCTTTATTACTTTCTTATATTTATGGAAACTGATAGAATTATGAAACGAAAAATTAATTAGAAATATACATGAAAAATTTAAGCTAGAGTTAGGGATAAATATTATCGTTCATTCAAGCAAGATCAGTGGCATATCTAGGAATCTTGAGGCTGAATGGGAGCGCGAAAGGTGAAGTGGGGGCTCGATAATTAGATGAAGGGGAACTACCTCGTACTGTAAATGAAAGTAATTTGAGGTGATTTTTAACTACTTGATTTTTTTTGCTTCAAACATTTTCAATGGTGGGGGGAGGGGCAACTGGAAGGGGCACAAGTATTTTTTGTTGGAATGCTCCCTGCACACCCCTTTAGATACACCACTGAGCAAGATCAAATTTTGAGAAAATAATCTACAAATATTGTACTTATAAGAATGGATGGCACCTAATGTATTGGCAGGTGAAGGCGTTTAAAACCAACAAAAGACCATTTATTTTTAAACGTCTGAAAATCAATCAAATATCATCATTCCTTAACCATTTAAAGGAAATATTCTAATTTGTGAATTTCCAAGATAAATATAAATGGTTTACTTTCAAGACTCTGATGGTGGATGCTTATTACTGTCTTTAAGTACAATTTCTAAAAGTGATTAGTAGATAACTCTATAGCTTGGTGTCTGTCAGTCAATTTAACAGGTAAATCAAAAACTTTATAAACCAAGTTCTTACTATTATCAAAACAAGCTCACATGTCATCATTATCTAAAAAGATTGTTACATATTAATATAAACAAATATAGAACACTTAAAAATTATTTTGTATAAATATATTTAATGATATATTATGACAGAATTGTAAATTAAAAATTTGTCAATCAGTGATATTATCTTAGTACTGTACTGCATTTATTCACCTTTTCTTGTAGTTTAAGAATAAAATAAATTATTTTCATACCTTGAAAAGAAGTTAATGCATTTATATTTTCCTGAGAATAGTTAGATAGGAATTGTTTGAAATATATATAATGTGTACAGTAGTTTTAGAATGTTAATAATTTATTGTGTTATGGATAATTTACTGCAATGCACGCTGGGAGAAATATTGTCTAAAGAGCAGATTTTTAGTATCAAATTTTCTTACGGTAAACAGTTTGGGGCAAATGAGTTCGGTGAATGGCGACGCCTGAATTGGCGACATACTTGTCTTACAAAGTTTTGCCTTCAAAAAAATAAAGAACATTAACCCATTGTTACTTTTTTACCTAACATCTTATGTTTGTAATATTATAGTGTAGATACTTATTATTCCTGGTGCGATTTGTATCTAACTGAATAAATTTACGAATGTACTCAAATTTCAACAGTGATGTATTGCGGTTAATAATTCAGGAATGTATTGAGTTATCTTTAATTGCCATGAAGTGTCTTTTATTTGACTACCGACTTAACATTATAAGCTTTAAATCACAGTTTAAACCAAACACTTTGTAAATAATGGCTAATAATCTGAAGTATTTTAAAGTGTATTGTACATTTGTTTAGTGTATTCTAGATATCACCTTGAATTAAAAAACATGTATAGTACTGTATAACTTTTACATGTTATTTCGTGTGAAAACCTTCACTCACCTTGAATCTTTTAATTACAATCATCTTTAGAACAGTATCTATTTGAATACATTCCAAATATTTTTGTGTCTCTTTGTCTGCGTGTGATATCTTTATTTCAGTGTATTTACACCATATCTAAATGCACATTAGTACTTAAGACCCTGTACAAACTATCAAATTTTATTTTACAAAAAACTGTTGTATGTCCATATATAGTCATGATGTGCCCATATATGGTCACGATGTGATGTCATCATGACCATATTTAGGCCTTTAGATAAACTGCTTGTATTAAGCTGAAAACGTTTAAATACAAAACTCGTATTTGACTTACACAATATTAAGTATTAATTATTAACTTTCAGTTAAAATATAGAATGAGAACAATTAAAGATGTATACATAATATTGTTACTGTATATTTTTTATTTTATGGATAGACCATTGAAGACGTATTATCAGTCGTAAGGTAGAAAAAATAAATAAATTTAAATTCCACATTTGAATTGCTAATAATTTGTAAAAGTTATTATCTTAAAAATAAAAATTTGAATTAAAAAAAATTCCCTATCAGTTTTTGGACATTTAGATAATACTCTCCTGTATTCATTTGCTTTAGATCCTTAAATTGGCTGGTAACCAATTTAAGGATTTTTTAGTAGTAAAATGTCTGTAAATCAGTGAAACTATTTTTTTCTTGTTGGAAGCTAATAATTTATATTTGCCCTTTCAACTGGGCTATTTTATTTGTTTAAATTTTATTTTAATTTTGAGGTATTTTCCTGCCTTTTTGACTTAATAGTAAATCTATGAAATGGTTGGAAACTAATAATTTTAACTATGGTACTAACTTCTGGGCTTAAGCTGCATTTACACTAGGCACGATAACGACACGATAAAATTGGGTTCAGTGTTGAAGAATATAAACAACGCAATGATCTTGTCATGTCATTATTGTGTCTAGTCTAAATGTAGCTTTACCTCGATTTATTGTGGCTATCTCATCTCAATGAAACCATTGTAGGTTTTGAATCAATCGATAATTTATTTGATCCGTTTCAATGAGAAATTCAGTATTTCTATCCAGTTTTTTAGGGAGTTGCCTAGATATTATGAGAGGCAGTACAGTTTATCAATGTTCATTTATGTCAGGATGTTTACAATGTGTTTCTTATGAAGTTTTATTATTTAAATGAGTAGCTTCAGCATTCCTGTCTGTCTTTCATCATCTACCTTTTAAATTTACATTCTAAACTCAAGAAATCAAGAATTAAATGTAAATTAAATTTACATGTTAAGTAAAAGACATGAATATTCATGAGGTCCTTATGAGTTTTGACTTAAGCATGTCATGTATGTATAGAAGTTTTGTTGATTAAATTATTTTAGAAAAATAATGGTTTTGAATTCTGTAGTTTTGTTTTTGAATCTGAAATTGTAGAATCTTCAGACCTTTTGAGTTGAATAATCTGAACTACTCGACAACCCACAAAGGGTGAACAGCGTGACAAAGCACGACAGTATGGCACGGTGTCAGTTACAGCGCGATACTAGTATTAGAGGGCGACGATAGTGAGTGGCGTGCGCATGACAGCAAGAGTACTGGCAGGACCATGTGATGGCAATAGCGTAATTGTCACAATCTGTAAATTGATCATCAAACTGTGCACTTTCCTCCTGCTCTTAGCGTATGCACCTGTTCATCAATTATATTTTAATTTCTTAGCAGCTAAAAAGCGCTTTGAGACGGTTTTTATTGTGGAAGATGCTGTAATACTGCAAGGTATTTATCCTACCTACCTTCAAGAACTTCAAAGATCCCAGAATGAATGAGTTCATGCCATCAGTTGGTCTGGTTATACTGATTCTTTGACTTGGTTTTTACCACAAATACAACACACTAAAAATTAAACATCTTTGTAACCACTGAAATGGAATCAGTTAATATAACTTATGTAATGACTACTGCCTCGAAGCTATGCTAGACGCTAGGCCCAGCCCTACCCGGCTAGGCTAGGCCAGGGCCGGGCTAGGCTGAACCAATTCAAGCGGATGGGGCTCTATCTCGTATATGAGGCTTGCCATCCCAGAACCAGCATCAGAAAACAAAGAATGAAAATTGACTTTTAAGTTTATGTTCTTATTCTCCACATTATAAGCTTAAAATGATGGGTCATTTACTGTAATTGACTTACTATTGCTAAAGTTATGAGTAAAAGTATTACAGCTTCTCTGTACTAAAGTATACAATACTGGCACATTCTTATGCTAATAACTCAGTTTAACAATTAATGACAGTACGCTGATTTTTGGGATGGCAAACCTCATATACTGTAATACCAGAGAAGGGTGGTGCTAGCAAGGTTTTTTTTTTGTTTTTGACATATTAATAGATTCTAATATCAATTAAATAAGCCTTTGTAACCCCTAAATTGTCATAACTTTCGTATAACGCTCAATCATGCTCACTTTGCTCTCACCGGGTACATCGGTTCCCCGATCCGGGCAAAAACTTGCGCCACCTCTGATACCAGAGGCAGAAGCTCTTCGAGACTCCTTGAAAAGTTCAATGATTTTAAATCTCATTAGAGAATATAAAAAGCACAGAATAGGGTTTTTTTTTTCAGTATTAACATTTTTTTATTTCAAAATCATTTACACAATGTACCAAAGTCTGTATGACTACAGTAAGAGTAAGGTTACAGTATTAAGGCTTTCATCCGATTACAAGTAAAGAAAAATCAGAACAAATACTTTATAGCAGTGATACCCATTATAAAATGTATTGTACATACAAATAATATAAAATACTAATGCTAGAAATGCATTATTTAACCATTTTCCCTCAATATACAATAAAATTATTGAAATAAACATAAAAAGGTTGCTATGTCTTTGGTCTGGTTTTTATGAAAATAAGCTGGTATAATGAAATTCATTTTACCTACTTAGGTTTCTAGATGTTAAATTTATGAAGTACATTTTTAATATAAAACTAAAGATGATGTTAGTAATGACATTCATCTAAAAGTCCAGTCCAGTCTATCAAATCTTAACAAAAACATGTGATATGCCTAAATATGGTCATGATGACATTGCTTAATGACCATATATAGGCACATTATGACTATATATGGGCATACAACTGTTAAAAACAGATTTATTGTAAATGTACTGTACTGGCATAAAAATTCTATGATTAGGTTGAGTATGATCACGATGATGAGGATGCTAAGAATGTGACATTAGGGACCTTTTGATTGCATAACGACGGTAGGACGTAAAGCTTAATGACGTCACTAAAAGTAACATGAGAGAACTTAAGGTCACCTTGTCGAGAAGATTCTGGAACGCAATAGAGTATGATGATGACCACGGTAATGACGTTGTAGACAATGACATGGACAATGATGATAATGATGTATTATTAATTTGATGCATACAGTTAATTATGACGGTGAATATAGATGAGGACTTTAAGATTGTGACAATAAAGTACGATGATGATGACAACGATGATGATTAAGACAATGACATGGACAATGATTATGATGACAATGGTAATAACAATGACAACGACATGGTAATGATGCATACAGCTAATTATGACGGTGAATATTGTTTTTTTTTTAAATCATAGTGGCGATGTTTATATATGATGAAGATGGTGGTCATGTTGATACGGTAATATTGTTGATTTTAATGATGATGATGATGATGATGATGTTTTTGATTATGAAGATAGTGAATATAAAATTGTTTTATGATGAATGTGATGCTGATAATTATGATACAGGTATGAAGAGGATAATGTTGATTTACAAAATAAGTACTGTATGGTGATTATAATGACCATAATAATCATCAAGGCAGTCTCATGTTGTTTGCTTCAACCATGGTGGCTATAATTTAGTGCAGCTTGTTGGTTACACAGTAGCCTGGTTGGGTCTGCCTGACCCACCAGTAACCTCCCCCCCCCCACCCACACGCGAGAGACCATCCTCCTCTGACACCAGGAATAGAGGTGTGCGCACAGGTATCATCATCTGCCCAGGGAGGTGGCCTTTCACTGGGATGTGGCTGAGATAGCTCACTGGATGTTGTCTGCAGTCCGATCACACACTCGAATGGGTGTCTGGTTTATCTTAGTAGTGCTCCTTCCATCATACCTGATGGCCTGTTCCCTGCCCTCCCAACTTTTTCCAGCACCACGAAAGGCAAACCAAATTTGAACACAAAGAAGTGTGGCCAACACTTAAATTGCTCACATAATACAATGTGTTCCCTCTATGTATTTTAAAATCTAAATAAAACATTAAATAAATTAGCAAAATGTACAAGAAGTAAAATTTACAGTTAGATAAAACTACAGTATATCCTAAAAATAAATTGCAAATTATAAGGTAATCTGATTAATTACAATTATTGAACATGTTTAGATCAATCTTGGAATCACACCTTTAAGAAACTTTCTCAAAAGCTATTTAATTTTTAAAAAAAAATAATTAAAAAAATAAATAAATAAATAAAAGTAAGTAACAAAGCTAGCCTCTATCGAGTATTCCAAAATATTAATATTCAAATATAAAACGTTCAGAAGTACAGTATTTCATCTAAGTCTACCTATTCTTTGACTTTAGTTTCTGTTATTATTATTGCCTACATTTATGCCATTGAAGCTGCAGTAGAAAAAAAAATTGCCTTAATCTCACTGAAATAATCCTTTATAATCAATATATCTAGCTGCATTATTATATTCAAATAGGCTTACTTTAGTATACTGTGCACATTGGCTATTCTATAATTTTGAAAAATGTAATACCATTTACTAATGATATTAAACTAAATATAACTATGATAAATGAGAATGCAGATTGTTCAACATATCAGGTAACTAGATAGAGGGCACTATATCAAAATTACAGAATTTGCACGCAGAAATCACAGAGAATGCTATTTTGCATTTATGCTTTATGGGTTGTACTAAAATTATATTGGATGATTTTGAAATGGAAAAGAGAATTAAAAAAAAATAAAAACAATAACAATAATAATAATAATAATAATAATAAAAAAATAAAATAAAATAATAATAATAATAGTATTAGTAACAATAGAAATTGTTGAAAAAGCTATAGTTTAGTGGATATAAACAATTTTTTTCCCCAATCCTTTAACACCAAATGGCCAAAGTGATGCGTAAAAGAAACAATAGCTTTTCCCACAGTCACAGGAAAAGCCAATAACATTAAATAATTGGTTCATATAATAATGGTTAAAGTCAAGACACAGTAGGTTATAACACACCTAGGTTCAAATCCAGAACCGAGTCGATTTTGCACCATTCTCATAAACCCATTAATCACATAATTATTTATCAGTACTTTATATATTTTACAATAATTTTGATGGTTTTGATTTTGTTTTTCTTAATAATACATATGTACAGGATTGTGAAGTAAGCAGTAGTATGGAAATATAGAGGATTAAACTATACAGAAATATCTCACAAACAGGGGTGGCGCCAGCAGATGGTCAGATGTTGGACTAAAAAATATGTCCAAATTTAGTTACCATGTTAAAAATATTTTATAGTTATCTAATATAAAATCAGATTCAAAATAACTTTATTCTTTTTACTTTATCACTATCTAACAAACTTTATGGAACTATAGAGGGGGTATGTCATGTTAAGAGAAAAATTAAATTGTTTCAGTAGCCATAAATTTTGTATGAAATTTCTTTTCATTAATCTCTAGCTTGTTATTGATAGCCAATGAAAACAAACTTGTTTCAATAATATAACTGTAATTCTACTTTTTATATAAGTATAATTTATCTGGAAAAAAAAATATTTTGTTGACATTTGCAGAAGATTAAAACATGTCTGTACAACTCGGATATTAAATATCAACAAAATCAATTTATGTTTTTCATATTGGATTTTTCCTTTTTGTTGTTTTTGTAGGCTCACTCCCTACATAAAAAAAAATCCAACATAAATTTTTCAAGAAGTTGCTTTTTATAAAATCATAATTTAACTGAAAACTATGATATTTACAAAGAAAAAACAGACATTACATGTAAACATTATGTTGAAAATTCAGTCAATCAGATGTTGATATACATTCAGAGAAATTGTGGGAAGATATAAAACTAGTGAACTTTATAAAAATATTTCAAATTAATCAACTTCAGATCTCATTTTCAGTAACTTCATCTTTTCCTGCGATCCGTGCTGCCGGCAGTAGAGTTTGTTTCCGACGAGGAGCACGTCACCAATCGGTAGAGTACGCGTGCATTCCGTGCACTTTTGGCACGCCTTGTGAAAGACTTTGCCCTCGGACCGTGACATCTCATTCATGTAAACTGCCTTGCTGCAGACTATACAACTGTCTGTTTTCGGCATGAATGACCATTTGTTGCTGGTGCGTTTATTCTGTGCATTCCTTTCTTGTTCTTTACTAGAAGTTTGTGATGACTCTCCTTGATTTAGATTTGTCTGACAGATAAAAAATACAAATAAATCATCAGTTAAGAAAAAAAAAAAAACATATTAAAAAAACTTGTTTCATTTGATAACAAATATTAAGCTCTGTCCCGTCTATCAAATTGTATTTGACAAGAAACTGCTGAATGCCCATATATAGTACTGATGTGCCTATATATGGTCATGATGTGATGTCATGTCACATGGTAATCTGAGCAGATCTTTATAGAAAATAATCTGTTGCACGCATTTTTTGTGAACTTCAGATTGCTTCTCTTTTTGAGACTGGCTTCTTTTTGAGATGGGCTCCTTTTCCAAGCAATTTTTGCAGAGTAAAGGTGAAGGGGGAGGGGCTTCTTTTCAAAATGAGTGCTGTAAATATTGGGAATTACTACTATAAAACAACAGGGCCACTGTAACATCAGTCTGTATCAAGGAGTGTATTAACTGGCAAGTAATCACTTAAGCTACTGTGTGAATTCAAATGTTTTTAATTTATTCTGTTTTTTTTTTTTTTAAATTCATGTGTATGTACTGTAGTACAGCATATGTACTGTACTGTCTTGAAAAAAAATCCCATGCTATCTTGAAAAAAATAAATAAAATGGGTTTTTTTAAACTAAAGAGGGGCTTCAATTCGAGATGGGCTTCTTCTCGAGATAAAGCCCATTGGGCTTTTATTCAAGGTTTTACAATATTTGTATAAAAGCATACCTTATATGAGGAATTTCCATTTGCTGAGTCCTTTACTGATTTGTTAATTTTGAGGTTAGTCTTCTCAGGAGACATATTGTCTTGCTTGTTCCCATTCTTATCAGTAACTTCTATCTGAACCTTTCTCACTTCATTGGGACTGGATTTGTTACTATTATTTCTCGAAGCTGTATTCTGGAAAAGCAAAATGCGATCGCGAACACTCTTCCTCGGCTGTTTCTCATCCTCGTCATCATCACTCATTTTAGTCTCTGTAATCTTTACTTCCTCTTGCGTCGTTTCTTTCTCAACTATGTTCGACGGTTTGTTGCGTATCACGATTTCTGATGGCGTCAATATACTGTTGCTGCGTAGTTCGCGTGTTTTTTCTTTGTTAGTCTGTTTAGTTACAGCTGCTTTCGGGGGTTCATCTTTAAGAGGAGGTTTAACTTTATCTTTATGTTCATTCAAATTATTATTCTCTTTTTCAGCGCTGTTGATTTTATCATCTTTCTGCACCTGTTTTATTTCTTCTGTGTTTGACGTTAATTCTTTCCTTTTGTTAATGATCTGCTGCGACTCTAACGTAAATCTGGGCTTTGTGGGGGGGCTCCATTTCTGCTTGGGTTGTTTGTCTGTGTGTCCTTCCTTCTCTGAGCTTTCAGTATTTTCGCTTTCTGCATTATTTTTTCCTAAAGTTAAACACAATATATATTAGCATCACTAACAGTCAATTTTGTAACCACTAATCATAATGATGAAAATAATTTTTTTTTTTAAATATATTTTTAGAAGACAGATTGATAATGAGAGGAAAAAATGTGGCATGTTATGATTATGCATAAGCTTAACCAATTTGCATATTACAGCCTACAGTAGGTGGATTTGCATCAAACAGTGAATAAACCTGCCAATCAAGACTTGCTAATGACAGGAAATAACCAATAATGTTCCATAGAGTAAGTCCCATTATAATAAGAGACTTTTGAAAATGAGATAAGCCATGAAATGTAAAAAGGCTCATTGCAGGATTTGAACCCAAGAGTTTGTGGATGGCAGATTAGCATCTTAATCTTCAATCTATACTACCACTTATACTCATCATCATTTCTTTAATTTATTCCTTTAAAAAATATCTTTATTTTTTTATTAATTTAATATTAGTTTATATTTTTATAAAATAAAGTAAGTTTCTTTGTGAGGCTTAGGGAATGAAGCTGTTTTTACATCATTTGACAGGATTCGAACCCATGACCTTGGTATAAGATGACAAGCACCTCAACCAACAAGCAGCTCCACTAAAACTTGCTTCCATATATAGTATCTCATGAATAAATGTTATTAGGTCACCACTAGCAAATGAAGTCTAACTCTTAATCATATAATACTAATGTCTATGTACTTTAGTCCAAGTACAATGCTACTATAAATGTGTCATTCAAAATACATGCAATCTATTAAACACTTCAGTAAAAACAAACATGGATATGAATATTCATATGAATATTATTATATGAATATTCATATAAATTCATGCTGCTTCTTGTTAAGTGTGGCTATTTTGTGTTAGGGAGCTTTCGAAAGTGAAGACCATAATCTATCTAACAATAAATATAGCACAAGAATCCAAGCTATGTTCAGTGACAACTATGTAACTGTCTCAGCACTCAGACAGATTCATTCCCCAGCGAATGTCCTGCATTCTTTGTACGATGTAGATTTCCCCCCAAATCATGTCCTCAAATTCAGACAGAACTCAAAGTTTTCGCAAGTATCGCCAGGATATTGCCATTGCAATCAAAAGCCCCCTTCTATCGATGTCAGTAACAATAAAATACAATTTCTGTTAATTCTACTAATTTACAGTACGTTGGAGAAATCATTAAAGTGTTAATTTTTGTTAACTTTATTAAGGGGTTGTTCACAATTACCAACATGTTCACAAGTGTACAAACAGTATTCTTTTTCGGTGCCCCCTCCCTCCCCTCTGAAAGTTTACATACAAAATGTTGATTTTGCAAAACCATTCTCCATTTCTTTGTGAAGTCAACTAAAGTACTGTACTTGGATACTTAAAAATGAATATTATATTCATGGTTGCATTAGAATTGGTCATAAAAATCTATTATTTTAAATAATGCATGTTATTTTGAATCAACATCTTTATGCATACCTGAAAGTGTACAAATTTGTCTACCACAACCCCACAATCACTCAGCGTACCGTTTGTACTCTTGTGAAAATGTTGATAACTCCCAACTATGGTATTTAAAGATGTATATTTTAATTTACCTACAGTTAAATGTAAATTACATTTCATTTTGTTTATTTCGTCTATTATACAAACAAAACAATACACAGACACTTTAGGAGGTAGACCGGATTGTTATTAAGGACGTTAGTGAGGTGTTCATTCATTCATTCACAATGGGAAAAAGAAACAATTGGATCAAGCCACCCGGACGAGACACAAATCATATTCACGAAATAAATAAATCAATAAACAAACGAACCAATAATTAAACAACAATTAAAAATTTACAATAAAGAACAAAAGTGAAAAAGTAATAAATAAAAAGAAATTAATTAAAGTATTTATCATACTTAATTTGTCTTGACATAGAAAGTTATAAGCTATGTTACTGAATATCACAACGTTTAGCTTCTTAATTAAAATATTGTAAAGTAAATTGAAGGCTTCAATAAAATACCACAACAAACAAGCATACAGCCTTCCCCTTCCCCTGAGCTACAGCCTTCCCCTTCCCTTGAGCTACTGCAGAACAGGAAACAGTTTCACTGTCGCACTATAAATTTCACCACTCTTCAGTTTGTTTGTGACTCAAAGGGAAAGAGGAGATAAATAGGGGTTGTTTAAATAACACTTATCACTATTATTTATGCTTTGACAGGTTTTTCTAGTCCGGCCTATGTATGAAAAAAGGTTTCTTGTCTGTTTTTTTCTATAAAAGTTTGACCAGAATTAATCAAATATGAACATGGCTTCCTTTCGTAGTGCTGGCCTCCAAGATTCTGATTTGCGCAAGACAAAGTACAAGAATATAGAAATTATTACTACATAGGTGAAATTTTTTTTATTCCTTGTTTCGCGAACTTAATTTTTAAAGATCATCAGAGGAGGGCAGAAAAAAATAAAAATAAAAATTCAGTTTTGTTTTCTTGTTTTTTGCCAAAAAACATTCAGATGGAGGAGGAAATAAAAATAAAATATTATTGGTAAATGTAAACAGTGTAGTAATGGGATGGTTATATGTTTTAAATTTACATAATTAGGAAGAAATTTACATATCTGTGGAGATTTCAAGGCAGCTGCGGGCGTAATAAAAATAAAGAAAATCTTTTATTGTTTTCTGAATTCTCCATTTTTTTTTTTGTGGTGGGGTACACTAATGGGCCAAAAATAAAATTTCATTTTTATTCAAAATTATCATTATTTGCGGGAAGCAGGTTCGCTAAACAAGGTATAAACAAAATCTAGCCTTAGCAATATATTATTCTACAGACAGGAAAATTTTCAATGCTGAGAAAAAAAGGAAGAAAAATTAGGAGTTGGATAAAAAAGAAAGTGGGTGGGTGGGTAAGTGGGGACAACAAATTAATAGTTTTCTTTTTTTTTTAACTGATGACTAATAAAAACAACAAATTAATAGAAGGCTTAGGTAAACTAACCACTGTTAATTGAATCTGTTTTTAGCTAGGTAATTTAGAATGAGGAAATAGAAGAAGAGAATGGGAAATTAACAATAGCAGACACATTTCCTAAGCCTCTGGGGTTATCAAACACACCTGTAAAGTTCCCTCAAAAGAAAGGTGAAACTACTTAGAATATTAATGTAATCATTTTTAAATCATGAAGGTTATATTGACAATTTTTTTATTAATAACTATAATAATGATGATAATAAAAACACAATACATAATATGAAGTAACACGTACATGCAGCAATATAAAGGAATAATTATCAACTCAATAGCAATCACTTTAAGTATAAAACTGCATTTGATGATGAATGAATGTAACGGTACTGCACAAAATGAATTGATTGAATTAAAAATGTTGGCTCATCTCCATGCCAAGTAACTACACAGTTTATCCCCTAGTTACAACATGGAATGAGTTTGTTATTATTACTATCTCCTTGGTTACAAGGAACATGAGGTTAATGAAATCTATGAAGCTACAGATGAGTTAGAAGAAAGATACCCAGTTACCAAAAAACCACAAAATAGAAGAATAGACTGCCCAACTTTACAAAACTGTGAAGGAAAAACAGACACAAATTAAAAAGCAAAATAGATAAGACATTAAAATGAAAATGAAATAAGAGAAACCAATGAATTAACTGTTTTATAAAATTTGTGGAGATTTAAGATTCTGCATAAAATTCGATAGGGAATGATACATTGGCATTTAATACGCAAATGGAAATAAAATTCTTAGCTGATATAATATTATGTAGAAGTTATTAATCTACAGTATTAACAATGTAGTGTTTAGAACCTTATGCCTTTTCTGTTGAATTACAACTCTTGTTTTACTAATTAGTGCAAGAGTGTGGTTTATTATTATTATAATAAACAAAGGTGGATAAATACTTTCTTCATGCTCTGCCTGCAAAAAACTAAATGGTAGCCGCCACAAATATCCCTCCTCCCTCGTATCTCACAGATAAATATGACGTCTAAAAGTAGTTGCTCTTAATTTTGAAGTGGAGGGGTTCAATTCCTATTCTTGTGTTTTTGAGCAAATCAGTGTACAGGCATGTGGGTCTTTACCAACGGATATTAGGTAGGTTATGAACCATCTGGAATTGACTTCAAATACTGGTTCCCAGAAGGAGAAGTAATGGTTGTAAAATTTGTAAAATCATTTGTTAAATTTTAGAGAAGTAAGATTCCTTAAAAACTAATTTAAGAAAACATTTTATGAACAAAGATGACTAAGGTGTTGGAAGTAACAAGGTTAAGGATGTAGCAGTAATGTGTAATTCATCTCCCCTGACAATGTGAGTCAGAACTTAAATATATTAATATTTGTTCTAATTGTACCAGTCAGTGGCATTTATAACTTATTTGGTATACTGGTATAAATAATTATTAAATTATATTCAATAAATTTTATAAAATTTTATTTACTTATATTTTTAAAGAAAATTTTTAATAAAATTATATAAAATAAGTTTTATTTTAATTATTTACATTTTTTAATAAACTTACATTTACATTTACATTTAAATTACATTTAAGAAAACAAATAATATTTGTTATAATTAAAATGGATTGAACCAGTCAAATTCTTAATAAAACTATATTTATTTAATTTTAGTTATTTATATTTTTAAATAAATTTGTAATAAAAATATATTTAATAAAGCCAAACCAGTCACTCGTCGAAAATCGTGTTTCAGAGAAAATGGCAAAAACATGCTGGAATGTAAAATTTAAAAAAATTAATTTATATATTGCACTAAACTAACTTTTATATATCTATAATACATCATGCTATGCTGTTATTTTCCCCATTTTCAATGTTAAAACAACACTTTTTAAGGATTTGATGATGGTTTCTGCATGAGAAATGCCTGAAATTATATACTTTGAAGGCTGATTTCTCAAATATTGTTCTTTAAACAGCTGTATGTTTAAAAGCGTGTAACTTCATAAGGAAATGTCGGATTTGTTAATTTAGTGTTTTTGCTTTTTAGGTTCATATGTGATTTTATAGTCTGATCACCGTTTTCTAGTGATCAATGAAGCTTATTATATGTGCATAATACATTACAATTTCTTATACCTTAGATTTGTTCATATATATGTAAATGATGTATATTTCAACTTGTCAATTTGAACAAACTACAGATCTCAGCTCTGACATCATCAGCTCAAAATTCAGGAAATGATTATGGGATATATCCAGATATTGCCATGGTAACTTTAAATGACAGAATCTGCAGATGGCCAGGTCATGTGTAATAAATAACATGGACTCAGTTATGTTGTATTCAAACTGAATTATATTATATTTATCCATTAAGACGGAGTCAAATACATTAAACACAGTTTTAAAAAATTGGACAGTTTATTGGGTATGGATTTTAAACAGACAATGTGTTAATATACAAACATATTTTCTATATCATGCCCATATATGGGCACAACATACACTCATGCCCATATATGGGCAGAACATACACACAAACTTTTGATGGCAAGTTGATTTCTTTTTGAAAGTGTGGACTGCCAAAAGCTCTCTACACAAGAGACATCCTCAATTAATCGGGGCAAGTTAGGTAATCAATTATTTTCATCATTTTTACAATAGTACAAAAAGTACATATTTTTGTAAAACCCTCCCTTCCGCTAAAGGAGTAAACAATAACAAAATAATTTTTAAAATTTTAGATCATTTTTTTTTTTTTTTTAAATAAAGAAATCCATATGATTACACAGTTAACCACCCCCACCTTCCCTAAAAGTGCATGTTTTGTATTCATGTGAAAAAGGTAAAAATTATGGATGGTCACTTTTGTCATGATGTTTTTCTTTTCTTTTTTGAATAATCAAAAATAATCATAACATTCACCTTTAAAAGGAAATGCACATCAGTGACACCGGTGATGGGAAATCCGTGATGATATTAATCTGATTAAAAGTATAGACTGAGAGTCAACAATCTATTTATATATTTCTCGACCTAGTTAACCATCCAGGCTTTAATATACTTAAGACTATATTACTGTTATACTTTGTGGATTGCGTGGTGATGTGTATGGTAGCTTTTTTGGGAAGTACTAAACGCAACTACAGTATATAATATAGTTATTGGCTGTGTTTCAACAAGTTACAAGGAAGACAGAGATGCCTCAGAAATTTGGAGTCTGTACATACAATTAACCTTGAACTTAGTAACAATACAGAAATTAGTCACTTTGTGTCAATAAATGAGAATACGAGATATAAACAGCAGTTGCGCTGCCCAAATGACAGGAAAATCCACATCATTTTATTATAAAATCGTGAGAAAAAACGTTAAAAACAAACTCACTTGTTGAAAATGTGTCCTCGTTGATTGGTGTATCAACTGGTGGTAGAGACTCAGGAAGTTCCTGTTGATTTCCTAGTAAACTAGAGGTGCTACTTTCTTCAGTAGTTTCTGAAAGTATACTTGAGTCCCCTAGGTTATTGGAAAATGAACTATCATTCATTGATGCATCATGGGATGCTGGTTCAGGATTATTTCTCTGCAAAAAAAAAAAAAACAAACAAATTTACATTTTATAATAAATATTATCAAACAAATTTCCATTAATGCTATCTATAATATACATAACACAGAAGTTTACGATATTAAAATTAAGACCAAAAACAAATCACACAAAAACTATTGATTTCACCTAAATTACAACAATATACATAAAACTGACACTCTACTCTACACCGCTCCACAAAAAAAACAAAACAAAAAATGATTTAGTTCAAAACCTTTTTTTTTTTTAAATTTATTTATTAGTGTTAAAGATATGGATGATCATTGCAACATTTAAATCACTAAAACAGAATAGGATACTGATTGCAACGTTTCTTAACAAGTGCCGTATCTAGGGGAGGTGCAGGGGGAACGTCCCCACAATAAAAAACTTGCATCCCCAGTCGGCCCCCATTTATTTTTTGAACTTCCCCCACCCCCTTTATTCCCCCATTTCAATACATACCACTGCAATAAAAGATGCTGATGAATATTTACCTGAGACGATATCCTGGCCCTTGTCGTTGCTCGACGTGTCTTTGGCTTCACCGACATCTTGTGTTTTGCTGCCGAATGACTAAGGTGACTATTGGGTGATGTTTGAATAACATCCAAATCCAAATATGCTGTATCTATATTTACACACCAAAATGAAATAAAATACCAATTAAATCATAAAATACATAAAAAATATCTTAATAATACAAATTTAAAAAAAAAATCAAATTTGTCACCAGAATTTTTAGATATATTAAATAGGATTGTATTTTTTCTTGTGATTTTGGGGGCTTTCTTATTTCTACTAATTTAACTTTTAAGCTTAAATAATTATCTGTTCTATAATTTATATCATAAGTTTTTCTGGCTTTGTTTTTGCCATTTGCGATTTCTGATAAAAAATAAATTGAAATTGAAATTAACCTTCACTAATAAAATGAAAAATTAATTATTTAGTATTTAAAGCTGTTTTTAGAATGTCTAAACGAACTAAAACTTATTGTGTTTCTAAAATACATACAGAACAAGACAATAGAAGCACAACGCAAATACCTATGAAGTGGTTTTTATTGTACCATTTAGAATGAATAAAATTATGATGAACATAAATCACTCAAACAATAGCAGTTTTTCCTGTAGGATTAACCTAAAGATTTAACAACATTGATTTGAAAACAAATATTAGAACACTGCCCTCAAGTTCTAAAAAAAAAACCTCATGTATACCTTAACAATTAACTATTATTCTCTTGAAAATATATATTAACATACAATAGAATTGGTTTATTGTTGCCAGCTTAGCAGAATTCTATATTTAGAATAGGACATCATAGCTACAAAATATAAAAAGGATTTGGCAAACAATAGTAGCAGTAACACCCTGATTGACAATAGCTGCATAATATTTTCTCGTAATAACTTTTACGTTCTAATTAGTTATCTTACCATAAAAGTGTGTGAATATTATCTAAATATAAGACGAATTCAACACTGATGGTAGAGCTACTCAGGTTCTTATAAACAGTGTGAAAGAAACATTAATTTAATAATTATGACTCAAAATTGCACAAGGGGTTGGGAACAGTTTCGGTTTAATGAACAAGAGTTACAATTTCTATTCAATAAAAGGGTTACCATTCAGGGCTCTGCATTCAAATTTTGTTTTTGAATTTGACAGCTCTACTGTAAAAACCAACAATGTTTAGTTGTTCTGATGTATTATTTTTTTTTACAGTCAAAAGTATCTATCGTTCAATAAAAGGTTACTATTTTTATTCAATAAAAGGCTTAGTGACTTGCATTCAAAATTTTATTTTGAATTTAAAGCAGGCCTATTAGTCATTAGTATATAACTAACAATACACATTCATGGCACCACTAGCTAGAAAGGAGTACATGATTTGTTGGACGGAAAAAGAAACCCTCCACTTTTTGGGCATAGAGCAATTTAAAATGGTGAAAATTTCCCCATTTTTTAGTGTATAGTGCAAGAGACCTTACCTATGTAGACGCCCACCACAGAATGAGCTCTTATCAAACAGCTTAGTACCTGCCCACTAAAGGCATACAACCGACCCACTGTGGGGCATATCAAGGATTATGAAAAAGGGGGGAGGGGAAGGGGGAAGGGGAGGGTGCTGAATAGTAATATTACATCCACTGAACCATATGCCAGGCGCAAAACTAGAGATAACCACACCATAAAATGGTTGTTAGAATCTAAAAGTAACTTTCATTCCATTTTTCATTAATTTACTAATATTATTTTTTCATGTTTCAACAAAAGAGGCGGGGTGGGGGGATGCTCAGGCATCGTAAGATAAACCTCGTTATGCTACTGTGATCCAGCAAAGCTGGTGATAAATACAATTATACAAGAAGATATTTGCTTCAGATTGGTCATCATTAAGACAGTTGGTAACTAATGAAAAGCAGTTATTTTTATATTTTAAATCTAAGCTGAATTTGTCCCTTAGGCGTGACTTTTTTATACCTTGCTTCACGAAAACTTATTTTAAAAAAATATACATATCTTATTTTTGGAGATTTCAAGGCAGTGGTGGGCATAAAAACAATAAATAAAAATTTTTTTAAATGAAATTTTCAGGTTTTTTTTTTGTGGCAACAGGTGCTCTAAAGAGCCAAAAATAAAATTTTATTTTTATTCGAAATCATCAATATTTACAAATATCATTATTATAGAGAAGTCTCGCCTTAAGCTACTGCAGCTTCCTTTTCCAAATAGCACAAAATCCCAAAATGTAGACTTACCTCCGAGACTATTTGAGGGTCTAGTATATCTAGTCCTCTTCTCTGCCCAAGGGCTGGCAGCCGACATACTTTTCTGAAATGTAGAGGAATACTTGGGCTTAACTGGTGGAGGTACTCGTTTTTGAGAATTATAAATCAGCCCTGAAGCCTTGGTTACTGTACTGCTGTACTTGGTATCTAGCCCCTGGTTCCTAGGCCCTACATAATTCCTCGACTCTTGTTTCTTGGGATCTGAGTTTGGCTGCCTCAGCACCCAAACATCCGTGGAGCTGTACGGTTGCACAATAATCTTCCGACTCAACTTATGGTAGTAATTTGATGGTTTGAGCTGAACCTTCGGGGCCTCGCCTATAGTGCTATAAACATTTGTTTTATAGACCTCCGGGCAAGCATATTGCGCCACAAATGGACTATCAATCAGGAAGCTATTTTTGTGCGGTATCACAGAAGCCTGGGTGTATAGTCGTGACATTTTTCCCTCAAGTACTCCAGAAAACAAAGCAGTATTGTAGTGATGATGGTAAGACAACTGACTATGGATTACTTAAGGCTGTGGTATTTATATGAGTCAACTAATACTAGCTACCTAATTCAATTTCCTGTCTTGTACTTGCTGAGTGCATACTAATATTGAATAAAAAATGGGAAACCACCTCACGGCCGCTCAGCAACAGTCACTATCATTTTAATAATTTAACTGACATTTAGAGAAGTGTCTAATGGGAGGGCTACACAGGAAGATAAGATCAAAGGATAATCCTCTACAATCTGGTTCAGGATGCTAAGATGGTTATTAAGGATTACATCGATAATTACGCTAATCCCTCGGTCCATGACATATTAATTTGAAATATTTTAATCTAATAAATCAAATATAATAAATCTATTTTTGTAATTGCACCCTAACTACTTTCAGTTGGGATTTTGAAAAAATTAAAAAGAAGCAATAAGGAAAATATATGAATTAAAATACAAAAATATATGATTATTTAAGGATTCATAAAACAATTTATAAAAATATGAACGTTAATGAACATATTACTAATGCATAATAATTAATAATATGAAAAATGTAAATGTTTAAATGTTTAAGAAAGAAGTGCTATTTTTAATAACAAATTAATATTAATCATAATAATGTGCATTATTTGAATAAAATTTTAAAAACAAAAAGCATTAGATTATAAACAAATTTTCAAAATGTGATATATGATGTTAGTATATACAAAAACCTCTAAAGTAAATAGGAGACACTTATAAAAATAAGCAATATTATTATTACCCAGTTTGTTATTATATGATATAATAGTGCATTGTACATACTATAAATGTACTGTAACATCAATGTAATTTCATACTTTATTTGTTAGGAATATAATATAAATGATAAATATTTTTGTAAGGTGATTGAATTAGCCCTTTTGCGCACAAACCTAAAAAAGATCATGCCAACCATGCACTAATGGAAAATTAGTGCATGGTTGGGATAGGAAAGTAACGTTGGGAGTTGCAGTGATGTCACAATTCACTTATAAATTATATAGTGCATACAATGAAAACAATTTTATCATTTATTTTGATAAAATAATGAAAACAATCTGCAATAACAATTAATTCATTTTATTTTACTACTACAGTACTACTTTATTGTAATTTTTTATAAGGGCTGAGCCCCACAATATTGGGTTGGGATTTCCGACCATGAGTCAAGTCCCATCCCCACTTGAACATAAGTATCTTAATGCCACTTGTAACCCCTAACGACAAATCATACATAAAAACAATCATACAAGATGGCATTTATACATATTCATGAACAAATTCTGGAAAAAAAAATATCAATCAATGAATGAAAAGTAAAAGTAATTTTGAGAATCTTTGTTTAAAATCTGTAATCTGATCGTTTCCAAGGACAATGTGACAAAAGGTCTATCGGTACTGACGTAAGCAGAAGAAAATATTAATTCCATGATTTTGACGGCAATCTAAGATGAATTAGAAGCCAATTAGTGCACATATGCTGATGAGGTTCTATAGCAAACATGAAAGGTTACAGGCCAATTTTCTGTAGACCAAAGCATTGATTAGTATATAAAATACAGCTGCCTTAATGTTATACAGGGAATTAGTGTCTTAATGGTTTTAATTGAGGCCATCAAGGGACAACAGCATTATGTTCATTGTTGCAAGGAGACTTAAGTGTGATGTACAATGCACCTACACTTTACAGGAACTGGCAGTATACCTGAATAGGTTGGAGTAAGACCAATTAGAAAGAGGGGAGGGAGAGAGAAATCCAGGGTTTGCAGTGACATATCTAGGAGACTTGAAATGGGGAGGGGGGACTGATGGGGGAACGAAGGTAAAGTGGGGAGGTAGATCACAAAATAAGGTTATTTGATGTAATTTTGAACTACTGTATAATTAAGTGTGATTTTTTTTTTTTTGGAAGTATTGCGGGGGAAGAGGAAGACCTTTAACAGACTAGAAAAGTGGATGGAGTATTTTGGCAAGTGAATCAGAGGGAAACAAAATGGAGCATTTGGGTACAAACAGGATTCATACACAAAACACGTAAATCATCATACAGCTAATGGTACCGTTGTCTCCTGAATTTATGAACAATAATGATGGGACTAAGGCCAAATATAAATTTAAAAAAAAAAACAAAAAAAAAAACATGACTTTGAAAATTATTAATTACCAGCCACTTAAGGTTTAGGCAAAACTATTGTTCATGGTACAAATGTTATTTGGCAGGCAAAATACTTTATTGATAACAATTTATATTTAAAGTTAATGATTAAAATATAAAAAGAATTTAAAATAATAATAATAAACCTAATAACAATAATAATATTAAACAATAATAAATAATAATAAACCTAATAACAATAATAATATTAAACAATAATAAATAATAGAAATAATAATAACAATAACAACAATAATAAATAATAAAAACACTAACAATAACATAACAATAATAAAAACAATAATAATAATAATGAAACTGCTTGTTCAAGATTATTAGCTCAACATAGATAGTACAATATATTATTTTTAAAATGACGAGTGAAATAAAAAATGTATTAGCTTTTCTACAAAATGATATGGTATAGAATGCAAAAAAAAAAACAAAAAAACACAGTGCGCTATTAACAGATTAGTAGAGCTATTCAACTATTGTTGATTTTGAAGACGTTGCAATGTTGCTATGGTAGCAGGAGTGGAGATGTAATATCTATCATTGGTAACATAAATAAGACAGTAAACATAACATAATACTAACACATTTCTGGAACTAATAAGCTATGTTAGTTGCTAGTGTCCATGAAAATGCAAAATATGAGTACATATATAATAGAAAAAAACTGAAGGTATGAGAAAGCAAATTCTGAGGATGATGATGATGATGATACTGCATGAAAAAAAAACTACACAATAAACTTTAGTAAAAATTCCAATATTTCATATTTAAAATTATATACTCTATTTTACTACTGAGATTAAAAATGATATAAATGCTTAGCCAACATTTACCATAAAGAAAAACTAAGAACTACTATGAATATGTAAATTAACAAATAAATAAATAGGTATGAATAATTACTGGTAAACCACTAGTCCATGTGTAATAATTTTAGCTTTTACCATATCAGCATATAAACATACAAATAATAGAACACCATTCTCAATTGGATTGGATTAGATTTATTTGGAGTAAACACCAAGGATAACACACGAAAGTCTAAAAAAGACTTATTTCCAGTGGGGTCCTTCCGGTGGTGATTGGGCAATACACCAGGAGACAATCCCCTACTTTTTTCCATAGAGTGTACTGCGTTCTTTAACATGCACACGGGACCAACGGCTTGCATGTTAGCCTTCCAACTGAAACACAAGGAGAGGCAGCGATGGGAATTGAACCGGGGACCTAGTGATCTCCACAGTTCAGCACACAGACACAGTGGCTACCACCAGTTTAGCTGACTGAGCTAAGCTGCAATAAATTATTTTTATAACTATTTTACCAATTAGTTTGTGAAATAATATTCATTTTTCAACTTAAAAAATGCAAATATTCTGACTATATAGTATTTTGAGTAATGGTGTACTTCTCCAGCACAAATAAATACAATATTTATGGAGAACCAAACACTCTTTCAGTTTGATAATTAAGATGTTTTAATATCATCATTATTTAACCACTTAATTACAACCATCTATCTACAAAAAAACCCCAAATTAAATACCACTAAATCTAATGACTATATTTTACTGTGTTAGTAATCTGCATGACTCCAAAAAAAATAATTCTGTAAAGATTGAAAAATGAAGAATTTAAGAGAGGTAAACAAAAAGATGAACATGAAATTACCACTCTACGGGCAGCAAATGGCTCTCTTCGGGTTTTATTGGTTACCTACCAGGTAAATATACAAATTGCAAAGTACTGTTTTTAAGTCGTAACAATATATTGAAAATTATAGACAGTTCCAGTACAAAACAACATGCAATAATTTGCTTTCCTTCCCCAAATGAAATATTTTTCTGTCACCACAAATTTTGTTTGAAATAAAACATTCTTTGGATGAACTTAATAATCAGTGACACAATGATACGTGCAATGATGATAATACTGTACATGGTTAATTCATTAAAAAAATATTAAAGATAAATTCATGATAATATATTTAGTGTATATCAAGCAGTAATAAATATGTGACACTTCATGAGATACTTATTAAAAAAGATTCATTCAGGTATCAATGTAAATTTATCAAAATTAGAGTAGAAGCCTTATCGTAGGGACACCTTCGGTACCTAAACAAATGTCCCCATAATTGGGCTGTCCCTTGAATAGGGGTTGGTCGTAGTGTTAAAATACATATTTTCACTTGTTTCACAGCCAAAAAAGTGTCCTCTTAAATGGGAGTGTCCCAAAGGAAGGGTTGTAATTTATCTCTAAGATGCTAAGTAATTAATTATAGAAATTAGTATAATAATAAATGTAACAATTAATATATCATAATAATAATTAATAGCATAATATTATAAACTAATTAACAATCAACAATAATATAAATTTTAATTACCACAAGATAGCAAAACAAATATCATCATAAATGAACTTACATCAGTATCATTGAAACTTTTTTCCTTCAGTGATTCCTCCTCCTCTTGCATTGTTTCCTCTGTTGTTGCCTTGTCTACATCATCTTCTGCGGGAGGCCTCACAGCACCCTTATCATCAGGGCTCATCCTCCTAGCCAACATTGCAGACAGATCTTTTGCAAAGTCTTTGGATATATGTTCTGTAGATTTTGAACTTTCACCCTCACGTAATGGTGTAGTTTGCTCCGGGACAAACACACTACTTTCAGATCGACTACTGGTCATAGTTGTTGAGGAAGGTCTAAAATTTGAAAACAAATAAATCATAAATAAATAATGAGATTTACTTTCCAACATGAAGGTAAATTTCATTCAGTGTAGCATAATTAATTGTAGGCTGTTGTTTATCTTCCTTGTTGCATTATATAGCCCCACCCAGTGCAGGGGAAACACCACCCAGTGCCCACTTGGGCCTGGGGATAACTGTCAAGGGATACTTGAGAGAACCATTTGTAGATATCTAGAGGTGACTGACATAACACAATATGCTGCCTCAGCCCCAACCATTCTGGGTTGAGGTGGGGTGGCCCAAGTCAAGGAACGACAGACCACCTGTAGGGAAAATGCTGACACCACTGCTGATCAAAGTGGTGGCCTCAGCCGAAAAAGCAAGGAGACAATAAACCCCTTGTCGGACAGGCAACGCCTTCTGTCAGACCAAAATTAGTTTTTATATTTTTTAATACTTTTAGAGTGTCCAAGCAAAACCAATATTTTGCTTGGTGTTGTTTTACAAATCCTGCAATTATTATTGGGCACACTTGACCACTTTGGGGCCCATTGTCCTATAAAAAAAAAACTGGTTAATATTCCAGGCCCATTTTAATGTCCCGGACCGGTGGCTTTAACCAATAAGAGCACATACATGCTTAAATATGGTCATGGTGACATCACATTATGTCTATATATGGGCATACACTTACCTTGGATCAAACATTCTTTCATCTGTATCGGAAAGGTTAAGTTCACCAGTAGACTTGGACCGCAGTGCACCATCAATATCATCCTCGGACTTTGATGTCCTTTTCTTTTTAAAAAGCTTTCGTATTGATTTGAACGGTCTGAATCGCTTCTTTTTTCTCGGATCATCTAAAACAAATAAAAATGATCTGTTGATATATCACAAATAAAACTGTTTGAACACATAATTAAATACTGTATCATATTATTTTATCAATTCATCCGTATTAAATTATGCAATATGACACCTCAGGGATGGGATGAACATGAACAAAATCTGAGAGTACAGTAGACCAGGTTGGTTAGTAGAGCAACCAAAGAATAATCCAAGGGTCTTAGGTTCAAATTCTTACGAGGTCCATCTATTTTTAACATACAATTTATTATAAGGAAATAATTGCAATGAATCAACAGTGGGATAATATTAATAAACAATAGTGTTTCTTACACAGCAGCATAGTCAATCACGTTCACCTGTAGTTAAACAGCATTTGTTAATTACTATTTAAACGTAATGTTCTGCCATGTAGCACAATGGGTCTACCACACATTATGTCGATTTTATAACCAAGTACTTTGTTACTATAACAACCCATTATTCGATTCAATAGGCTGTAAAGACAATGCAATTCTTGTGTTTACTACGTCGCCATTCGTTAACGCACTTTCAATGGTAGCAAAATTTCACGCGTTAGGAGGCAGGTTTTGTGCTGGTAAACAAAGAGCTTTGGAGTGATTTTAGAAACATATGGTTAGTGACATATTTTGCATTGAAATTTTCAGCCAACCTAGCAGACAGTTCAGCTAAAAAACCAGGAATGGCAGTTTAAGCTTGTATGAGGTGGGCGTAAACAAATTAAATCATCAGAAAATGTTTATAGATATTACTGACTTTCTCATAGTGAAACTTGGCAAACATTGGTTATATATACTTTATACAGTATTACTTTAGTTTCAAAATCAATCAAAACAACACTTTATCTTTCCTTGATCTAACCATTAGTATTTTACTTAAGCATCGCTTTTCATTTTCATTTATAAGCTTTTTCGACACTAACTAATCAGATGCGCATAAATTACTATAGTTTTGTTCACATTATTGAGAAATTAGTATAGTTACGTATCATATACTAGTGTAAATTATGGTACAAAAGTTAGATTAATGCATGAAAAAAAATCATGAAATGAAAAATTAGTGAATAGTTTCGTATAGGAAAATAACATTGGGAGTTACAGTGACTTATAACTAACTTTATGTGATAAATAAATACAACACACCCATATTTGGGTGTAATATGACATTATCATTTCCATACAATATTTTTTGGTCTATGGTTTATTCTGTATATACTGCTTTATGGCATACAGTAGTCTTGAAATTTGATGTTAATATTGTAAAACAATTTTTTATGTCTTTGTTTCAAGTTTGCCAAAATAAATAACATAATATAAAATTAAATCAAATGAAATGTCATTGGATTTTTCCAATTTTCCAGATTTTACATATCATAGGTTTTATAATATTGTAACTGACACTGAGGTTTTATAGCTCCGATGAGGAGCTCTAGATTAATAGATCTTTTTTGCATTGGTAGCCATAGGGCCAATATACTCTAGTGCCTCTGTTATTCTACCCTCATCTGAGCTTTCGAGATTACGAGAACTTTTTTATATGTAGTACTGTATACTGTATATGAATGTCCAATGAATCAATGTTACTTATTGCCAACAAATATTTCACAACATTTTTTATAACTTAGCGGTTCATTTGGCAGGAACTCAAAAACTGAACTGAATCACTCAGTTGTACAAGTCTGTGTTAACCCATTTCAGATCAGTATCCTATTTATCTGTAAACAATCCCAAAATGAAATAGAAGGTAGAAGTCGCTCTCGAGCCAGAACTCATGGTTGTGAATCACAGCAAAAATCAACAAAAACAATCCACATTTCATTTTTGGTTTAAAGATGTATTACTGGTACTGGTACGTGTAGCTGTCTTATTTCAGACATTCGGCAGCCATTGACATTATGTTGGCATCAAAAGACTGCATATTGTGATGAGGGACCTGTGTACAAACAATTACCAAACACAAAAAATATGGAAAACATAAAAGATATCAACTTGAGCATAGAAATTAGTGTATTCAAAAAATGTCTACCCATCAGTTTACAGCGAAAAATGATAGAAACACTTCCCGTCGCTGAAAGTGTTTTATTATTTTTATTATAATTTTTTGGTTTAAAAATCAGCGTAGACATTTTTTTTAATTCAATAGTTTTTATGCACAAGTTAATAATTTGTATGCTATTGCAATATGAGCAAGTTTATTTCAAAATTATTTTTAATGATTTTTTTGACATTAGCAAGGGTCAATACATCTTTAAAGAGGTACTCTGTTTGGAAAAAAAAAATTAAACAGCAATAAATGATATTCAGTTAAAGAGATAAACTAACCAATTCCTTCCATGTCTTCCTCATCACTCATTAGCCCTTCAGGTGAAGTAGGCCTCATAGCATCACTCATTGGTGAGGTTGGAGAGGATGGTCCAGGCTCTGAAGTTCCACTTATCTCCCAGTCAGCAGTTCTTGTGGAGTTAAGCGGTTCAATTTCCTGGAACGAGCCCTCGCTGATTGCCGCAGTCGCCATAACGGGGACACGATGTTCAGGCGTAACGTTCTGGAATGATGACGTACTCTGTTGGCTGGTTAGAAGACGACGAGCTTCTGGGTTCTTCTGATCAGTTCCTTGCCTGTCGCTCGTTTCTAAAAAGTCAAGACTGTAACTGTCAGTGTTGTGATGCGATAACAATAAAGCAAGACATACTGCCTCATGGCCTACTAATCCCAAACAATAAAACCTATTTGCTGTTGCCATGCAACAACAGAAAATTTACTTGAAAAAAATCATTAAAAAAAATCAATGAACTATTTCTTTGAATTTACTGTACATTTTGCTAATTATAAAATTCCTAAATCACATAAAATTCTGTTTCACAATATATGGGTTTTTGCACATGGCAATTTGTTTTCTACTATAATAGTACTCAGAATGTTATGAATTGGTGAAAGATATTGGGATAATATAATACACTTATTGAACGCTGAATTTAAGAACAAAACATGATGATGGAACATATGTCAAACCAGCTGTGGTGTAGAAATATTGCAGGTATTCTTAACATCTGTGACTACAACAGTAGTTTCACAAACCCATCGCCCACCAATACTGATGATTTCAAATAAAAATAAAATTTTATTTTTGGCCAATTAGAGAACCAAAAAAAAATGGAAATTTCAGAAAAAATAAATGTTTTTCTTTATTTTGATCATGCTAGTCACTGCCTTGAAATCCCCAAAAATAAGATGTATTTTCTTGCTAATTATATAAAGTTATTAAGCATTTAACCATCCCATTACTGCACTGTTTACATTCAACAATACAATTTTACTTTTATTATCTCCTCTGTCTGGATGTTTTTGGCAAAAATCATTTGCTAAATAAGAAAACAACATTTTATTTGTAATTTGTTTTCTGCCCCCCCCCCCACCTCTCCCCTGATGATCTTTAAAGAAAATAAATTTGTAAAAAAAGGTATAAATAAAGTCTTCCCTTAGGTCGAGGTTTGTATATTCAAAGGCTGCACCATAGACCTCCAACTAGCTGAACTACGACCTCTCTCTTGCCAAGTGAGTCTCCCCTCAAGAAGATTATCTGAGGTTTTGAGTTGAGCTAAGGTATGCTGGTTGAGCGCCTGTCACTCAATTTTAAGGTACTGGGTTCGAATCATGGAAACAATGTCAGACAGTTTTGTCTTTGAGAGCTATGAATTGTAAAGCCAAACATTTTGTAATTTTCTAGTTCGACATAACTTCCTTACAGTAGTTGCTATGGAAATTTTCCCGAATTACCGACGTACAGAAATGAAATACGGATAAATGAGCTAAGGATTTATATAAATGACTTAGAAATAGGCCCAACACCTAATAACGCAATGATATACGGAATGCATGATTTACTTAAGCATGACAAGGTTAAAAAGCAAGTTTAATGTAATGACGGCCGTTTCATTTTGATACATGGTCCTGTAAATAGAAGCTTCTGATCATGCAGATCTTGAATCAATTTTTGTAATCGCATCAATTTCTAGAATTATATTGGAAATTAGCTCAGTCATTCAATCCTTGACTTGTTGATTTATTTATAAATTTATTTTTATCCATAATACTAGGTAACCTACATCATACAACGGCCACACAACAAATCTAGCTCCACCCCCTGTGTGAGCGCTAGATGACACGATGCCATCTGCCAATTGTCGGTAGCAGTCAGAACGAATCAACATTAGTAACGATTCACATTGCGCGCGTTGCGTTATGCATAGAATCGCGTCGGACGACGACAGTCGTGCGCAGTGGGTGTCATGCGTGCAGTGTTTCTCTCACAGGACCCAGTCAGCTTCAGAAAATCTCATTATGATGTTTAGAAAGTGGATCTTTGTGTTAGCAAGATTTGAATACAGAATCCTGGGATTGGAAACCAAGCACCTTAACCACCAATAGCTAATCCTGCACAAATTACAACCTTTTCCATTAGGTGGGTTAGTTTCTCCTAATGCTTGATGTTTTTTATAGTATTTTGGGCAAAAGGACAGCTCACTCACAATGAAGTTTGTCAATATACTTTAATTGGTAATCCTCAGTTGATGCAAGTTCTTTTTTCATATCTTTAAATAAGTCTTTCGCAAAATATATGATATACTGTATTTTCAGTTCATTTATTTATTTGACCATGTAACATTGAAAAGAATAATAACAAGAAACAACAAAACAATGGTCAGGGACAGCTAAAGCAAATAAATTACTGTAACTTGAAAGAATCAGCTGTCCCTGTGATGATATGATGATGTCAATCCTGTTGTATGTTTAGTAAGAAGCAAACACTTCACTTTTATAGTAATGATATTTAGTGATCAAGTTTTATAGTTAGAATCATTTCATCTGTGAAAGGTTAATTATAAGGTCAGAGCTCAGAGGTTAAAAATGACATCATCAATATTGATATCTCTAAATAATATAACTCCAAATAATTAACCAAACATATAAAATAGTGAAATTAAAGGCAGAGGAAACATAATATTTTGCTAAGCATAAGCTGCAGCGATGTCATTTTTATGACTTATTACTTCAATCAATATCTTTAAAGAAAATCAATAGGACTTGTCAGTGACAATTGAAATGTATAAGCAATCAATTATATGAAATATATTATAGAGCATAAATTATCAGAGGCTGCAGTACAAGAATAGATCACGGAAGAACTTTTAACATGTTTGGACTGTTAAAATGCAGTTGAGTGTGTTTATTATTCAATACACTATTATTGTGTTAGTGCAAAAAAATCTGTGCATTATGTTTGATAAATTTAAAATAATAAAAATATTCAGGTTCCAGTAAATTAAAGTAAAAGTGAAGAAATACAGAACAGCTTAGATTTCGACCATATGACAGCTTGTTATCATTACAAATTCTAGATGATTGAACCATGTTTATGCAGAATCATCCAGTTGTATAAATCATTAGTTTACTGCATTTATGTGGGATGTTGAGTGTAGAACAGAAACTGGTGCAATTTAGCTTTCAAAAGTGACAATAAACTTTATGGAAATGTGTTGCTAATTTGTGAAAAACCCAAAAATACTTGCTACAGTTTAGTCATACTATACTGCCTGTGCCCTTGAAATGCTGGGGAAGAATTAACCCCAGCTTCATCAACTCAGTTTCCCCTTCATTCTGCTGTCAGCAAAACTGGAAACCTCACAGCCTGTGCCCTTGAAACAATAAGGGAAGACTAACCCCTAGCTTAGTCAAATGATTTTCCCCTTCCTTTTGCCTTCAGCAAAACCGGAATCAAACATAGTTATGGATGTTTTTTTAAATTTGTCACTGCTTAACATGATAGACTGTAAGCCTGCCAAAATAATTTAAGTGTGAGTATTGACAATATTATGAGAGACATGAAGTAGTGAATTTATTGAAAACAATACAACCATTTTCAGGGTGTTAGCTGCGTGGTGATTATTAATTACTTTAAATAGCTTTTGGGGCACAAGTATTTTATTTGCGGGGAGGGGGGAGTGAGTATTTTTTGGGGATGCACCCTCTAGATATGCCACTGGTGAGCCGGTATAATGCAGTATACATGAACATTGTGTCTAAAGTTGATTCAGATTAAGAGGTTACTTAATCAGCATAAGTACTGTATTTTATATATTTTTTCAATTTTACTCAGTTTATCTAAATTTTCTGATGATAGAGAAGAAAAATCATGACTTGTTTCCTCCAATAAGTAATAAAGTCCCTCTCAATTTGTAAGTATTAGTATTTAAGTCTTCTTTAATTTCCCTGAATTGTTAGATTAAATTTTCCTAATGTCTCTACCCCATACTGCGCACTTCTGTCCCAGTTTAGTGCAAAGTAGGTCTGTTAAAAATATGAAAGTCACCCATCAATCATCCAGTCTCACAACGTAGGCGTACTGTCTAATGTTGGTATCTCTGTGACATGATAGGAAGCTATAAAATGCACATTAATACTAATCATGAACGTACAGCTTCCCAAAATGAAATTTAAAACTTTGGTGTGTTGAATTACATAATTAGATTAAAGTAATATAGACTTCATTTTTATTTGTTTCCAGTTAGTATTCAGTAATTCCATTCAACAGCATAATATTAATGATTTCAAATAATTTTATTTTGAAATAATGATTTATATCTGCAGCACACTGTGTCCACAAAAAAGTGCTCGGACAAAATTTTCAATTACAGAAAAATCTTGAAAAAAAACAAATAAATTGTTCTACAGATGAATAAATAATTTCAAAAATCAAAAACATATTTAACTGGTTTCAATATGTTAGAAGTTATATTAACCAACTGATGTCATGACAACAGATGTGTAACATCTATTTCGGTTAGATGTAAAAGAATTCTGATACAATTCAAAACATTCAAGTAAAAGTACTCCATTTTTTCAAAAAGAAAATTGCTATTTTTAAATAAAATACTGTTTTAATGTTAAATATATTCTACTTCACAAAAGTATTACTGCAAGATAGGTAAATTAGCTATTAAATCTGTTAGCTGTTGAAGGATGCTACAAATTATGATGAAGTTAAACTCCAATTCCTATGAGTGTACTCAAAACAAATCACTCCGATTCTAATCCAGGATAATATTGCTGAGAAAATCCGAGAATAGTTTCTGTACCTATGGGAATCAACAAAACACTATAAGCAAAGAGTATAAAGCGGACAAGAGAGCCAACTATGCTCTGTAAAAACGTCACTCCGCTAGTTACGACGAAGTTGCCATCGTCACTATGTAGTGCTCCCCCTATGTGTGAGTTCGCATATAGTGTGCCTGCTTCGATACTATGAAAATCAAGAAAATTGAGGAAATCAAACGCCCTTTACGAATGTATTTTATCATGTGGAAAATAGAAATACAAATAAACAAACCATGCCCCATGCATTACTGGGTAATGCAGTAGTAGTGGGCATCCTAAACTGGCTACGTATGGCGCACAGTATTAACATAGATCATCGCACTGGCTACGTATGGCGTATTTGTTTATACGCTCACAATCGCGTAGTTGCCTCTCTTGATCTCTTTATGCTCTTTGCTATGAAGTTCAATAATAACTGACACTACTCTGTTTCCAGTTGGTGGTACTGTAAGTAGGGACCTATTGTTAGAAGAAGGTTTTAAAGTTTTTGTTTTTTTTTTCTTTTCAGGGGTAAAGCCTCCTGCTTGTATGGGTTTTAGCAACTTAATCTTCAATTGAAATTATTTCATACTTGTTTTAAACACATGTGTGAACAAAAGGTTGAAAATATTGACTAAAAACAAATTAACCACAAAATATAAAAACATATCATTATGCCCGTTATTGCACTTGGGCATCAAAACATCTTTTCTCCCACATTCAGGGCTCTAAAGTACTAATGAGTTTAAACCATTAATCTTTTTAATTCAGGGGTGGATTTAGAGGGGGGGCCGGCCTGGCCCCGGCCCCCCCCTTTTGGGAGGTAAAAAAAAGAAAAAAGAAAGAAAAAAATGAAGGAAAAGAAAAAAATGATAGCCCAGAACGCCTAAAATGTTATTTTCGGGCGTCTAGAACACCAAAATTTCGCGGGGGCATTCCCCCGGACCCCCTAGGGCATTGTTGTTTTTTTTTCTTTTCAGGGGTAAAGCCTCCTGCTTGTATGTGTTTTAGCAACTTAATCTGCAATTGAAATTATTTCATACCTGTATTAAACACATGTGTGAAAAAAAAGTTTAAAATATTGACTAAAAACAAATTAACCACAAAATATAAAAACATATCATTATGCCCGTTATTGCACTTGGGCATCAAAACATCTTTTCTCCCACATTCAGGGCTCTAAAGTACTAATGAGTTTAAACCATTAATCTTTTTAATTCAGGGGTGGATTTAGAGGGGGGGCCGGCCTGGCCCCGGCCCCCCCCTTTTGGGAGGTAAAGAAAAGAAAAAAAAAAGAAAAAAAAGAGAGAAAAAGAAAAAAATGATAGCCCAGAACGCCTAAAATGTTATTTTCGGGCGTCTAGAACACCAAAATTTCGCGGGGGCATTCCCCCCCCCTTTTGGACATCTCTGGATCCGCCCCTGTAATTATTTTGGAGTTAAGAATGATGTCTTCACAGTGAACAAAAACTGAAAAATCCATTTATAGAATTGACAAGGGAATATACATTATACAAATTTGTTTATACGCTTACAATCGCGTAGTTGCCTCTCTTGATCTCTTTATGCTCTTTGCTATGAAGTTCAATAATAACTGACACTCTGTTTCCAGTCGGTGGTACTGTAAGTAGGGACCTATTGTCAAAAGAAGGTTTTAAAGTGTTTTTTTTTTTCTTTTCAGGGGTAAAGCCTCCTGCTTGTATGGGTTTTAGCAACTTAATCTTCAATTGAAATTATTTCATACTTGTTTTAAACACATGTGTGAAAAAAAGGTTGAAAATATTGACTAAAAACAAATTAACCACAAAATATAAAAACATATCATTATGCCCGTTATTGCACTTGGGCATCAAAACCTCTTTTCTCTCACATTCAGGGCTCTAAAGTACTAATAAGTTTAAACCATTAATCTTTTTAATTCAGGGGCGGATTTCGGGGGGGGGGGGGGTGCTCCGGCCCCCCCTTTTGGGAGGTAAAAAAAAGAAAAAAGAAAGAAAAAAAGGAAGGAAAAGAAAAAAATGATAGCCCAGAACGCCTAAAATGTTATTTTCGGGCGTCTAGAACACCAAAATTTCGCGGGGGCATTCCCCCCCCCTTTTGGACATCTCTGGATCCGCCCCTGTAATTATTTTGGAGTTAAGAATGATGTCTTCACAGTGAACAAAAACTGAAAAATCCATTTATAGAATTGACAAGGAAATATACATTATACAAATTTGTTATTGTAATTTTTTTTCAAGCCACTTTGGAAACAACTATTTTAATAGAAAGTTTATTTTAGTTGAAAAAATAAATAAAGAATATAGATAAGTATATAAAAGATAAGAATACTGTCTGTTATATGAAATTGTTTTAATTATTTGCTCAGTCTGGGTTTTGTGGAACAATAACCTTGTTTACACGACAGGAGATCACCGTGATGATCGCATTTATTCGTTGGCGGTAAGTGGCCGGGTAAATGGAGTTAATTAACTCCGCATAACGGATGATCTACGCAGTTACCTCTGCACTGCAGCGGTGTTAACATAGATCATCGGCGTGACCTTTATGCAAATTAGCTGTTGTTTGACAGTATGAATGCCATAATTATTATTTGAAAAATTATGTTTCTATCAATTAAATACATTTCAAAACATTTTGACGGATGGTTTCAAAACAAGTAGCAATGCTCACATTTTTTTCAGGTCAGTTTTAATCACATGACTTCCTGGTACAACCGATAATTTCTTTATCGCGTAGACGCGCAACTGCAGGTCATTGGTATTACCTATCTGATAGCAAACAGCAATGTAAACAAGGCTAGTAGTACTGCACTTTAGGTGAGTCCTCGCTATATAATTTATCAAGTGCTATTTCTCAATGGACATTATATGCTCAATTGATTTTAAAATTCTGATGCTCAAAATACCTCTCAAATACCAACAGTAAGTATTAAACCAGCATTTAGTTTAATATTTTAAAATCAATTGAACATATAATGTCCGGAGTAAAGTAGTGCATTATTAATTTTTCACTGCTAGCCATCTCTTAACTCTATCAGTACAACAGAACCTGTGCTATCTACACACATTAATCATAGATCTTAACTATTGTATGTCTCCTTCATCAATTCCTCTACAATTCAGTTTTAATATGTACTTTACAATACTTCACAACATAAAATATTTGTTACACTATTTAGGAAAAAGAAGTAAAATAATAAATGAGTAATCAAAAATCATTTAAATATTAATCTTTTGTTAATAGTGTGTGTCTGCTTTACCAGGTATAATATTATTTTACATGTAATTTAAAAATATATAAAGATATAAAAAAGTATATAGTACAAGTCAGCTTAAGTAGAATTTACTTTGAAATGGTTTAAAGCTATATGTACAGTCTTACACAGAAATTTCCTGTGCAGTACTTACAGTCCACAAAACCAATAACAAAACTATCAATATTAAGATGTTCACTGAAGTATGAATTCTCAAAATTGTATTAGATGATATAGAGATAAATTTTCATACAATAATGATAAACAAAACTGAAATTCTGGGAAAGTCAAACCAGAATGATTAAACAAACACTGAAAAGTACAGTGTTAATAGTATTTCAACAGCTACCGTAATTGACTTTCAGCATATGATAAAAATTACTGTTCATCTTGATTCTCACATGATTGGTGTCAGCACAGCTGACTTAATTAATTTTCTGTGGAAACCATGTGCCCTGGAATGTGTTAGGCCTATATGACGAATGCAGGGAAAGAGAGAAGGCCTAGATGGCGGAGAAGAAAGGCCTGCATAAACAGCATGATCTATGAATGACTGCTTGACCAGGCCGGTAATAATAAATCCCATCTTGAGAAGGCTAGTGACAAGAAAATGCCTACTTGACCAAGCTGTTGATGAAGAAAATCTGCTTAGTGATGGGAAAGTTTTGTTTTAAATGAAAATACCAATAATTTACCCAAGATGAGCAGAGAGATAATAAGTTTCTTGGTTAGTATTAAATTTGATTGAGAAAATCTATCAAGCCATAAGCGAAAGTAGAACAGATATTAAACAAACAAGTTAGCAAAAGCATTGTATTCAGAACAAAGCCTAATAAGTGATAAACAAACAATGTTTTACAACAGGTCTGTATATCACCATTCACTGTATGTCATAGCTCAACTAACCAAAAGCCTAAATAATATTCTTGTCTAAGTTTTTTGAAAGAGAACTTCAGGCCTATTATTTTCCCTATCAATACAATTACTGCAATACAGAGCGTTGTTTACCTAGTTAAAGGCTCTAGAAAAATAAAATAATGCAGTCCAAAAAATATTTTCTGTTACTGTAATTGTTTATTTGTCTAAACCTAAACAATATAAACATTTAATACATTTTGTTTAATCAGTTTCTATTGTTTTGATGCTTCTTTACTTTTAACAACTCTGACATATATCACTTTTATCTAGGTCAATTTGTTAAGATCACATTAGACCATTTATAAACATTTTTACATTGCTATGTAGTATATTTACCACTTGAAATAGACTTTTAAATTTATGTTCATGCTTGAAACAAAATGTATGAAATAGAGAATTTCAATAAACTTCAGTTTTGTACTGTACTGTACATCTGACTGAGACATTGCATTCCAAACACATCTCAAAACTTCAAAAATAGACACCTGAGCCCAAAAATTCACCTACATATGGCTACAGCCTGCAGGGTACTGACTCGACATTGGCCACGCCTGAGAAAACAGATATACTTCAAATAAATGACAATAACAACACAAGACTAAACCAACATACCGAAGGATCTGCGTCCACAGGGGCATACAGCACCAAGTAATCTCCACATTTTCGGAGAGAAATTAATCGGCTTCGTTTAACACCAGTTAAACAATGATAACCAAAGATTTCCTTGCTAGTATAAACTGATTAATGATCCATGGATACCAGGAGGATGTGAATAGAAGTCAGCCTGCTGTAGCCGTCAACGTCATCTGTCCCGTGCACAAGTGGGCCTACGATGCTTGTTGTAATTTGTGAAGTACTCAGCTACTGTTACATACCACCCTGCTGATAGCCAGTCATAACCAGCCAATAAAAGTCTCTGTACCACTGAGGTTCTAAAATTTACTAACTGCTATCAGAGAGGTTATACGAGATGAGCCGGCAGAGTTCTGTGTCTGTCCTAAGTACAGCACAATGAATCAACAGCCTTCTCAAACTATGGGGAAAGTTAATAAGTAACTGATTTCAAAGGAAGTAGGGCAAAAGTTGACTGGATTTCCGTGATGGTACATTATATCTTTGTTTTATGTGTGTTTTATGTCTCTGTACTTCCTTCAATGACACCGCAGGAAATAAAAATTGGGAGTACATTTATTAACAATAACACTACAGATACACAGCTGTTTTATATCATTTTAAAATAGATAAAATTAAAAGGAAAATAAGTATTTAGGAAAGTATTACACTGTCAGATCCAAGTGGAAGGCTGTTATAACCTTTGGTACCCAACATCACAAAGCTAAATTATAGTAGTAGTACTACTACGTTGGAAAATGAATAGGGTGCTATGCATAATTATGTTGGCTCTATGACAAAAATTTTAATTTAATAAAAAAAAAAAAATTAAATAAAAAAGAACATTTTTTGCACCATAGGCAAATACTAATGCCTATGTTAACTCTCATTATCTTAAAACTAACTAAATTTCCTGGTTGGATCGAGAAGGTTCAACAAAAAAAAAATGTATTGTATTTAAGTATGTTTAATGTTTAAAAACAGTGCTACCCTTTACCATCAGGGCTGAAAAAAGTGCGCGACCGGCATTCGGAGGCATCGTGAATGCCCGGAGACATTTGGGGGGAGGGGAATTCAAAAAATAAAAAGTTCAATGGCCATACAGTCTACAGACATTTGAAGCTGGAAGCATTTTAATCACAACAATTTCCATACAGTCGGAGGAACTTTTTTTTTTCCAGGCCTGGCTATCATACTTTTTTAAATACTATTAAGATTATTCCAAATTTCTTATAATTCATAATTTTTTACAATGAATACTCTTAATTGTTGTTTTTTTTTTTAAATATATTTTTTCTCAGTGATTTCACTGACTCTTTTTGAAGTTTATAGGCCATTTAATAAGATGTGTTTTTTGCCACTATCAAGTTTACTTAATTTATGTTTAGGCCAAAATAAACATGGTTCATTCCCTGGGTTTTTAAAGTGAACGGTGACCCTCTACCACTCCCCCAAATTGTAGACAGTAACATTCACATTTACATACCTAGGCCTACAGTATGCTAGTCCGGCAGGGGGTAAAAAGCAACAGGTAGGCCGAAACACACAGTGCCCCTCAGCGTAATCACTCACAGGTTTACAGTGCTCATTGCTATCAATATCAGGATAATTTAAATTACTCTTCTTTAGGATTTTCAGAACGTTTAGTTTTTGGAAGGATTAATATGGGGATAGAGTTTATTATAAAATATATCCCAGGTTAGACAAATGTACTGTATAGTGGAACATCAGAGAAACTTTTATAGTAAGAAACACATAACTGTTGATTTGTACAACTGGTTACAAATCAAAATGACAATACCCAACCACAATTAGTGTCACAAAATATGAGATTAACAAAAGCAAGTCAACCGAATAAATTATACAAAATTTGTCAATATCAATAACAATATCGATAACAAAAAAACATCTGCTTTTTGTCTGAATGATAACAATCAGATTTATTAGAAGGTAAGTAAAAAATAAATAGAAAAATTAACATGAAAAAAATATATACAAAATTGTTACTTTGTTGTACACATTGTTACCTGTATAACAAAAATTTACTAACGCTGCTATAGAGAGACTGTAAAAAACAAGTTTTATCCACCAAGATATTTGAGAAAGAAGGCTAAAACCCCAACCCTCAATCAAATTAAAATTGATAAAACCCCCACCTTGGTTTGGCTGAGTTCTGTTGAATATTCTTGAGGGATTTTATTTTTCTTTAGGGAATAGAAAGATGAGATATGGTCTGCCAGTTCAATAAAATTTAATCTATTCAAATTGACATGTAAATTTTTACAACAGATATCACCAAATAATTCATTTATAATTAATGAGATCAGCAAATGTTTTACTATGCCAGCTTCATTCCATCTTATATTACTGTATAATTAACTCTTATTAAACTTTAAGGTATTTACTCAAATAAATGCCCCGCCTTAAAAAAAAATTCCCTCTC